TTGACCCAGGCGGAAGTGACATTTTTAAGTGTTTTTGAGGCTCTTTTTACACCTTTTTCAATGGCATGTTCGAAACTCTGTTTTGATCCGGTGATCACTTCAGTGACGCGTGCAACAGACATATTGTTCCCCTTCAGGATGTGACTTTTTAACAGTGTATCCCAAGGGCATCTACAACGACTTCTCCAAATTGCAAAATTATTGTCTAATCTCCAAGACGCCCTCAAATGCTGTTTTTCGCCGGCCCTGTTATGCTCGGCGGCTGAGTACAACCGGCGGGGAGAAAAACGATGGCAAAGGTGTTTGTGAATATATGGGCAGGGCTGGTTGTTTGCCTGATAGCCGCATGTGGTGCTGAGCCCCCCTCTGATGAAGTGCGCAAGGCGATACCAATTGTCGCCTCACAAGGCGAAGCAGGGGTGTCGGAAGTGATCGGCCAGACCGCCTATGGGGCGGTTCGAGGTGTGCGTGACAACCGTATTCTGACTTTTAAAGGGGTTCGTTACGGCGCCGACACATCTACCACCCGATTTGCCGCGCCTGCACAACCTGCGCCCTGGGCGGACATCCAGTCTGCAACTGCTTTTGGAGCAACCTGCCCACAAACACCAACCGGAAATCCCGGTGGTTTGTTCACGTCATGGGCAACCGTGCCCACGCCGCCAATGAGTGAAGACTGCCTGTTTCTGAATGTCTGGACACCTGCTTTAGCTGACGGCGGCAAGCGGCCGGTCATGGTCTGGTTCCATGGCGGTGGATTCTCTTCAGGCAGCGGTTCGTCGCGGGCGTATGAAGGTACACGCCTGGCCCAGCGTGGAGATGTTGTGGTGGTGACCGTCAACCACCGGCTCAATGTTCTGGGTTATCTGGCACTTGGGCACTATGGCGAAGGCTATGAAGATTCGGCTGTTGCCGGTGTGCTTGATATGGTGCTGGCCCTAGAGTGGGTGCGGGACAATATCGCAGCTTTTGGCGGCGATCCCGACACGGTGATGATTTTTGGGGAATCCGGCGGTGGTGCAAAAGTATCTACCTTAATGGCAACACCAGCGGCGCAGGGTCTGTTCCACCGCGCAGTGGTGCAGTCCGGCGTCATGCTTCGTTTTCCCGAGCAGGGTGTTGCCCGGGCCGCTGCAGATAAGGTGGTGGCGAATCTTGGGCTGAATGCAGACACGCTGGCGCAGATTAAGACGCTACCCGAAGATGTCATTCGCGCAGCTTTCGAAGGCACTGGCGCGGCAACCGCACCTTCTATCGACGGACGCACGTTAACCCGCCACCCGTTTGAACCTGACGCGGCGCCCTGGGGTCGAGATGTACCGATGATGCTGGGGACAAACCGCACGGAAAATTCGCTATTTGTCGGTGGCGCTAACCCTGCGATTTTCGACCTGACGTGGGCACAGTTGCCTGATGTTCTGCAGCGAAGCTATCCCGACAAAGAAGTTGAAGCCATCATTGCCGGATATCGGGCGCTGCAACCGGAATCCACTGCGGTAGATATCTACTTTGAGGCAACCACAGATTCGCGCTGGCTAGCTGGTCACGTGCAGCAGGCAGAGCGTAAGGTGCGCCAGGGTGGCGCGCCCACCTATCTTTATCTGTTTAATTGGAATACGCCTGTCGATGGAGGAAAGTGGCGCTCGCCCCATGCACTGGAAATCGGCTTTGTTTTTGACAATGTTGCAAACTCTGAAAGTATGTCCGGGGTAGGGCCAGACCAGCAGCGAGTTGCAGACATTATGGCTGATACCTGGATTGCCTTTGCGCGCACCGGCAAGCCGGACAATCCAGCGATACCCGCCTGGCCGGCATACAACCTCGAGACCCGTCCAATGATGGTGTTGGATTTAACCCCTGAGCTGGTCAATGATGCAAGAGCGGCTCAGCGTGCTCTGTTTGATGATAGTGCCGCTTATGGTAATCGCTACCAGCCGGGTGAGGAGTGAACCCATGCAAAACTGGCTGAAGTACCTGGTGGTATCGCTGACAATACTGGGGGTTCTACTGGGGGCGTACCTCATTTATTCGGTTCAGGTGGTCAACCCCCGTGTGGTTGCAGAATTGGTTGCAGAGCCAGATGGGCCGCGCGCCGCCAGAGTGATGTTGTTGACCATACCGAATGAACGCGTGATACCTGTAAATTATCTGCGCGAGGGTTCACTGGTCTTTGTCGGTGCAGATGGCCCATGGTGGAGAGATCTTTTACCTGGCGATGTGCCGGTGCAGATGTTCATTCGTGGTGATGATCTCCACGGCGTAGCCAACGTGGTGGACGATGATCCGGACTATACAAAAAAGATTTTTGCTCGGCTGCGCCCGGATGTACCTGATTGGCTGCCTTCCTGGGCTAATGCAAAGCTGGTGGTGATAACCCTTTCGCCCAGTGATTCTTGATGGGCAGTTTGCGTGTTCTGATTGCTGGTGGGGGTATTGGTGGATTAACCGCGGCACTCGCGCTTGCCAACAACGGCTGCGAGGTCACTGTGTTAGAACAGGCGCCTGAGTTTGCTGAAGTGGGCGCGGGTATTCAGCTGTCGCCAAACGCCTCCAGGGTGTTGCATGCATTAGGGTTAGAGGAGCCATTGCGCGCGGTTGCTTTTTTGCCCGAGGGTACGCAGTTCAGACACTGGCGTCGTGGCAATGTGATCAGTGAGAGCAGCCTTGATGAACAGGTGTTAAGTCGCTATGGCGCACCTTACTATCATATTCATCGCGGCGATCTGATGGCCGCTCTGGTTAACGCTGCGCATGCGCATACAGATATTGAACTTTATTCCGGGGTAGCAGTGAGCGGGTTTGACGACACGCCTGATGGTGTCTGCCTGATCGCAACAGCTGCATCACACACAGGCGATGTGCTGGTCGGTGCAGACGGTATTCATTCCAGAATCCAGGCTGTTTTATGGGGCGAACAAGCGCCTCAGTTTACCGGCAACGTGGCTTGGCGGGCACTGGTACCTGCCGCGCAGCTGCCGGCCAACCTGATTCGCCCGGTCTCCACGGTCTGGTGGGGTCCGGGCAAACACTTTGTGCACTACTACGTGGGTGGTGGTGAATGGGTTAATTGTGTTTGTGTGGTGGAAAAAAGCGGATGGCAGGTTGAATCGTGGACCGAGCAGGGCGACTTTGATGAGTTGCGTCAGGATTTTGCAGGTTGGCATAGCGACATACAGCAGTTATTGGAGGGTGTCGATAAAACCCAGTTGTACAAGTGGGCATTGTTTGACCGGGCGCCGATGTCGCAATGGGGTAAAGGCAGAGTGACGCTGTTGGGTGATGCGTGTCATCCCACCCTGCCTTTCATGGCCCAGGGTGCGGCCATGGCAATTGAGGATGCAGCGGTACTGGCTGGTTGCCTGAACGAAGCCTCTGATGTGACTGCTGCACTGCAGCGTTATGAAGATTTGCGTCGTGCTCGAACGGCCCGTATTCAGGCCGGCTCGCGGCGCAATGCTCGAGTTTTCCATCTGTCGGGGATACCGGCCTGGTTGCGTAACCGTGCAGCGAAACGCGCAGGCGGCCGCGCGATGGATGAACTCTACCGCTACGATGCGCTGAAAGTGGCCGTCACAGCAAGGCAGGCATAGTCTATGGGTACTCGCACAGTGACGGACAGCATGGGTTCGATGCAGGTTCCAGCAGATGCGTTGTGGGGTGCCCAGACGCAACGGGCCCTTGATAATTTTGCGATCAGTGGAGCGCCGATGCCGTTGGTATTCATCCAGGCGCTGTTGATGCTCAAGCGCGCTGCAGCACAGGCGAATACTGAATTAGGTCTGCTTGAACCTGACCTTGGCCAGGCGATAGCGCAAGCTTGTCTGCAGTTGAGTCAGGCTGAAGATCTGATGTCACATTTTCCGGTTGACGTCTATCAGACAGGTTCAGGCACCAGTACCAACATGAATGCAAACGAAGTGGTTGCCACGCTGGCCAGCGATTTGTGCGGCAGGGATATCAGTCCTAACGATCATGTTAATCTGGGCCAGAGTAGTAATGATGTCATTCCTTCAACCATTCATATCAGTGCTGCAATTGCTTTAAAAACCCAGTTGTTGCCAGCACTCGAACATCTGAGTGACCAGTTGCGCAGGAAAGCACTGCAGATCGGCCATTATGTTAAAACCGGGCGTACGCATCTGATGGACGCGATGCCCGTTACCCTGGGCCAGGTGTTGGGTGGCTGGACGGCTCAGGTGGATGCAAACATCAAGCAGCTGTCAGGTTTGATGGAATCTGTGCAATCGCTGGCCATAGGTGGTACGGCGGTTGGCACCGGCGTTAACGCACATCCCGAATTTGCCGAGAAAATCTGCCAGAAACTGTCAACGATCAGTGGTACCCACTTTGCAGTCACCACTAACCACTTTGCGTTGATTGGTGCTCAGGACACCGCGGTTGCGTTATCCGGAGGGTTGAAAACCTGTGCCGTCACATTGATGAAACTTGCAAATGACCTGCGCTGGATGAATTCCGGACCTCTGGCTGGCCTTGCAGAAATTGAACTACAGGCTCTGCAGCCGGGTTCGTCGATCATGCCGGGTAAGGTCAACCCCGTGATCCCTGAAGCGGCAGCGATGGTTGCCGCTCAAGTCATAGGCAACGATGCGGCGATCACGGTAGCCGGCCAATCCGGTAATTTTGAGCTGAATGTCATGCTGCCACTGATCGCCAACAATCTGCTCAATAGCATCAACCTGCTGAGTAACGTCATACCGCTGCTTGCAGATAAAGCCATAGCCACCTTCGAGGTGAATGAAAAGAGTATTGGCGCTTCGCTGCAGCGAAACCCCATTCTTGTAACCGCTCTGAATCCGGTGGTGGGTTACATGAAAGCAGCTGAGATAGCCAAACAGGCCTATGAACAAAATCGCCCCGTCGTAGAGGTCGCCGCAGAACTGACGGATATACCAATTTCAGAACTGCGCGTTTTGCTGGATCCAGCAAAACTGACCTGAACGCGGGCAAATTAGGTCGGGATCGATGCTTCAGCGCAGGCTTCAGAGATCCTCTGATAGTTGAACCAGCATCTTGCCGGTGTTTTCACCCTTGAGTAAGCCGATCAATGCCGCCGGTGCCTGTTCGATACCCTGCATGATCGTTTCGCTGTATTTCATTTGCCCGGCAGCTATCCATTTGCGCATATCTGTCAGGAATTGCTCGCGCAGATGTTCGAATTCGTAGACCACAAAACCTTTCATCGTGACGCGGTTATAAATCATATTTGAGAGCGTGGTGACGCCCTCTGAACGCGCACCTTTGTTATTGTAGGCCGAGATCATGCCACACACCGGGATGCGACCTAACGGGCGCATCTGGCCGCACGCCGCGTCGAGGTGTTCACCGCCGACGTTTTCGAAATAGACGTCAATGCCATTCGGTAAACCTTCGCGTAAAGACTTACGGATATCCTGGGTTTTGTAGTTGAAGGCATAGTCTATACCCAGTTCGTTGAGCAGGTAGTCGACCTTCTCCTGGGAGCCGCAGCTGCCGGCTACCCGGCAACCTTTGATTTTGGCGATCTGACACACCACGCTGCCGACAGCGCCTGCGGCTGCGGATACAAATACATTTTCCGAGTCTTTCAACTCGCCTGTAACCAGCAAGCCGCCATAGGCAGTCAGACCGGTGCCGCCAAGCACGTGCAGGTGTGTGGAGAGGGGTTCATCCTGCAGCGTGATGGTCCGCAAATCGCTGCTGTCACTGACATGATATTCGCGAAAACCTGCACGGTGGATAACATAGCTGCCAACGGCATGGTCGGGGTTGCTGCTGTGTAGAACTTTGCCAATAGCACCGCCCATCATAGGTTCGTCCAGCTTTGTCTGTCCATTGGTCAGCGGCGGGCGCATGGCGGGGTCGACGGACATGTAAATATTTTTTAGCAGCACATCGCCGTCGTCGCTGGATACGTTGGTTTCTATCAGGCCAAAATTTTCAGGCACCGGCAGACCATTCGGCCGAGACGTCAGGTGTATTTCACGATTTTTATAGTCAGTCATTATGTGTGTCCTCAGGTTTTTCAGATTCTGTATTGGTTGTTGATGTTTTCTTCGACGACCGTTTAGGTTCCGGTATCAAACCGTCGAGGGGGAATTCCGATGCGGCGCGCAGTCCTGCAATAGTACTTAAGTTGCGCATACTCTGTCTGGCGGATCCCATAAGCACCTTCAGCATCTGTGGTTCCTGGACTTGTCCTTTTTCCTCGACTAACGACAATCGGTGTAAAGAGTACAGGCCCACCAGAGTTGAAAATAAGAAAAAGAAATCCCAATGGCTGAAGTTCATGGCCTCCAGTTGCAGGTTATTCGCCTCGCTCTGCCAATGAATCGTCAGGCCCAGTTCCCAGGAAGAAAACAGGTCAACGGCGATTCCGCCTAACAGCGCCGCAATACCGGCAGCCGTCGCGTTCACCATTGAACTACTGGCAAGGTAGGCAGTAGACCCGCCAATGGGCGCTAGTTTGAGCGCGATGTTGCCAGAAGCCAGATTCACACCGGCAACGGCGAAGCCCGTCGCGATATGAATAAGAATCAGTAACGGGATCGTGAATCCGTGCGGCTCGGGCAGGGTGGTGAATGTCCAGGCAAAGATGCTCAGGATGAACACCGGGCAACAGGTAGCCAGCACAACCTTATTGCTGAAATGATCTGCAATGCTGCCCCAATAGCGGACGGTCAGGAATGAAGCGATCTGGCTGAGGGTGGCAAACGCAATAACCAAGGTCAGTTCGTATTCCAGTCGTTTGAGCATATAAACCGTAAAGAAGGGCGCAGCCAGATTGACGGCAAAATTCCAGCTCGCCAGGAAGCTGATCAGGCGCCGGTAATTACGGTTGGCGAAAGGTGCCCTGAGGTGGCTGATTATGTGCGCGTGGGAGGGTTCCATGACAGGTTCGAAGATCTTCCGCGCGCAAATGACAGAGTAGCTGCCACCAATAAAGGCCAGGGTGTACACCGTTGCATAAGCGTATTCTGTGGGCAGACCGGAAAATTGTTTCCACAGGTCAATGAAGGCGGCTGCCAGGAGGCTGAACAGGATGCCCACACCGATCATTTTCTGCTGACGGTTGCTGAACAGGCGACCCATTTCTGCATCCGGCACGAGATCCCGCATCCAGCTGTTCCAGGAGCAGCTCAGAAAAGCGCCGGCCGCATAGCGAATGGCAAAGGCTAACAGAATCAGCCATAACGCCTGCATGCCGGTATATACCACTGCTGCCACAGCAATCACCAACAGCATTGGTCGCGCGATCATGCCGCTGATCAGGTAAATCATTCGCCGTTTGCGTAACCGTTCTACAGTCCATAACGCAGGTACCTGCGCAACCTGGGCGATATGTGGAATGGCCGCGAGTGCGCCAATCATCCAGTTTGGCGCACCAAGCTGCACGGCCAGCGCGGTTAAAAATGCGCCAACAGCAAGGGTCTCCATGATCTGCACCCCAACACCGTTGCGAACAATCCAGCGTTCGCTGTCTTTAAGGTGGGTATTGTCGGGGCTATCTATGGGCTCGGTCATTAGTCTGCTTAGTGCTGTGTTGATGTTTCCTCAAGACCTACCCGCGTCTGGGTAGGTTCCAGGCGCGCAGGTATCTGGTGGAATTGCCGCGTACTAGACGGCAGAACATAGATTAATACAAGCCTGTTGTGGACGTGTTATAAAAGCTGTGAAGCAAGAAGGAAGTCTTATGAACTGTTCCAAGTGTGGCGGTGTATTTGAAGAGATAGAATACTCTGGTATCAAATGTAATCGTTGTGTCTCCTGCCAGGGCATTTTGTTTTCTATGCTTGATCATGAACATTTAAAGGGTATAGAAGGTTCTGAATCGATTGACATAGGCGATGCTCAAGTGGGCAAACAGTACAATAGCGTGCACCGAATTGCCTGCCCGGAGTGTGCAACGCGCATGATTCCTATGGTGGATCGTGATCAGCCGCATATCTGGTACGAAGCCTGCACATTCTGTTACAGCGTCTTTTTTGACGCAGGGGAATTCACAGATTTCAAAGAAAAGACCGTTCTGGACTTTTTTCGAGATCTCCTGGCTGGCGAACGAAAGTAAATCAGACATGACCAACATCAGATTTGCAAAGGGGCTGATCGGGCTCATCGGATTGGTTTTTGGTGCCTCTGTTTACGCTGATGAAGATTTGCGCATGTACCTGGAAGGGCTGCGTGCAGGTGCACCGGCGGTTCTAGCCGGACAGACCCTGAAAAGTGCAGATGCGGTGATGGCGTTCTACCTGGAAAATAATCATCAGCCGGTATGGGTCCAGGGTGGCGCGCTGGAAGCGGAGCGCAAGACCCTCCCAAATGCGATTGAGCTTTCCCAGGCGCATGGGTTTATCGCCTCTCGCTACCACTACGGTTTTCTAACCGATCCGCTTGACGAAGAGCGGGCTGAATATGTCACCGAAATTCTGGCAACCGATGCTTTTCTGACCCAGGCCAGGCATCGCGCAGGCGGGGTGGTGTCGCCTGCCAGTCTGGACCCGGATTGGCATTTAGTAGACACGGAGCATGATGTCGTGGAAGACCTCAAACTCTTGTCCAGTCAGGGCGGCAGTGTCGCGGCTTACCTCGAGGGGTTGTGGCCACAAAATGAAGACTATCGGCTGCTGATAGAGGAGCGCAGCCGAATCGCGGCGCAAGCTGACACACGAAGTGAGGTTGTCCCGTCAGGACCACTGCTGAAAATGGGTTCTACTGGCCCGCGTGTGTTGGCGCTTAAGCGAAGGCTGCTGGGGCCGGACGAATATACAGACATGTTTGATGAGGCCCTGGACCGAGAGGTACGCATATTTCAGATCAGCGCAAATCTGGAACCCGACGGGCTTGTCGGCCCGTCAACGTTGGGTACGCTGAATGCTACCCAGATTGATTGGATCAATCGGATCGACGCTAACCTGGAAAGATGGCGTTGGTTGCCGCAGCAGATTCCGGAAGACTATATCAGTGTAAATATTGCTGCTTTTGAACTTAAAGCAGTGCACCAGGGTATGGAAGAGTTCACGATGCGGGTCATCGTGGGTAGAAATTTTCGAGAAACGCCGGTGTTCGTTGAGGATATGAGATATTTTGTCCTCAATCCCTATTGGAACGTACCATTTAAATTGGCCACAGAAGACAAGCTGCCCAAGTTGAAAACGAATCCGGCTGAACTGTCCCAGGCGGGTTACCAGGTCCGACGGTCGGGTGAAGAATCGTTTATTGATGTGACCAGCGTGGATTGGAGTTCAGTCAGTAAGCGCAACTTCAATTTTCTATTGCGCCAGCAACCGGGACCGAGTAACGCACTGGGGCGCATAAAGTTCATGATGCCGAATGAGTTTTCCATTTACCTGCACGATACAAACGACCACACTTTGTTCGCCAAAACAGAGCGCGGGTTCAGCTCTGGTTGTATCCGACTGTCTGACCCGGAACAACTGGCTTCATGGCTGTTGCACAGAGAGGCGCGGGTGGAAGATGCGTCGAAGCTTTCTTCGCAACTTGCAGATGGCCAGACCCGTACGATAAACCTGCGCAAGCCTCTGCCTGTGTATATTGTTTATTTCACAGCCTTTAAAAGCGCAAGCTCTGATATTTCGTTTCGTCGTGATATTTATCAACGCGATGAAAAAATAGTGAACGCGTTAAGGCAGGAGTAAGTAATCGTGTTGGTGAGATTGTTGTTTATTGTCTCAAGTATGCTTTTTGCTTCGGCTGCCTTGGGGTGGGATTCGCAGCGCTCATCTCTACCGCTTATTGTTGATGGGCGCGTTGTTCCCTATATGGTTTTTGCCATCTATCTGATGCCTGGACAGTCTTTTGATGTTCAGTTGCAGACTAAAGAAAGACGGGGGTGGTATACATTTGCTGGTCAGGAAGGTCAGTTGGAAGGTGCTGATCTGGTTGCACCAATGCTGCCAGGGTTATATCCCATGAATATTCAATCGGACCTGGCGTCTGACGCGCGACAACTGAACGTATTCGTGATGGTGCCAGCAACTGAACAAACTAGTGACAAGACCTTAAACGGCTATCGAATCGGCGCTTACCCAGCAACCCCGTATAAAGGTTTAGACATTTATAAAGCGCCACTGGGATTTGTTGAGGTGACGCAAGAGAATTTGAATACACTGGTGTCGCCAAATTTCAGAATCAGGCAGTTTCTAGCCAAGCAGGATCAAGGGTTTCCGAAATATATTGTCCTGAAAGCAAATCTTCTGCTTAAACTGGAAAATATTCTTGCCTCATTGAACCAGAACGTGAAACCCATAGATGGATTCACCGTTATGAGTGGTTATAGAACCCCCTGGTACAATCGGGCAATCGGAAATGTACCAAACAGTCGTCACGTGTTTGGCGGCGCAGCAGATTTTTATGTCGACGATCAGCCAAAAGATGGGCAGATGGACGATATGAATGGTGACGGAAAATCCGATAAAAAGGATGCCCAGTGGTTGGCTGCGTACATTAACAGCATGTCGCAACGCGGTGAGTTCGGTAAGCGAATTGGTGGCATCGGCGTTTATGGCAGTAATTCAGCCCATGGGCCTTTTGTGCACGTGGACGTGAGAGGCGCGCGAGCACGCTGGTGAGCGGCGTTTACATCTACTTCTGGCACCACTGTGCTAGCATCTCTAACTAAGTTTATCAGGCGAAGGGGTGGTGAATGATGTCTGAACTGCAGGAATTGATCAAAGCTTACCCTGAGCTGGCTGCACTTGGTGTTCTAATTTCTGGAGTCGTTCTTGCCCAGCTGTTGAGCAAAGTTGTAGCGGTGGCGTTAACCGCCTTAGATCATCGTTTAGCCAGGTACAGCGTTACCGGAAAACAGGTTGTATCGCCGAGTCTTGTGAAAATAGGCAGAACCCTGACTTTTTCGCTGGTGGTACTGGTTGCTGGTGTCTTTGCGATTTCACTGCTGGATATCACAGACTTCCCGCTTATTGTAGACGGCCTGTTTACGTTTCTCGGTCGATTGCTGTTCGGCATTGTTATTCTCGGTCTGGGGCATTTATTGGGGTTGCTTGCGCAAGGCACGCTGGAACGAATTGCAAACCCTTCGCCCCAACTCGATCTAGTCTCCAAGGTGGTTTATTTTTCTACGATGTTCGTTGCGGCAGAGCTGGCGTTGTCGCATTTAGAGATCGACACGAGTTTCATTACGGAACTGCTGCTGCTCGTGGTAGCACTGGTGCTGGGGGGCTTGATGCTTGCCTTTGCACTTGGGGCAAAAACTTATGTTGGGAATCTGCTTGCGCAAACGGAAATGCAGCGATACAGCGTTGGTGAAAAAATCAGGATACAGGACGTGCAGGGGAAAATTTTGCAGGTCTACTCGACAGGTCTGGATCTTGAGACTGACAAAGGTATTGTCTTTGTTCCTGCCAGCCAGTTTGCCACCACGCCAGTTACACGCTTAGCCGAGGAAGATCAAAAGTGAACGCGATGGGCGCGCTCAGCATAAAGTATGCGGAACAGTTTCCGGAACTATTTGCCATGGAGATAAACGGATACTCTGTCAACGAAGCGGCGGATGTCCTCAACACGCTACCTGACAAAAGCATTCTCGCAGTGATGACCCATCTTGAATCTGCGCAGTTGCATGGGATTGTTGCGGGTAACTTGTTATCTTCGGACCAGCTGTTTGCAGAATCGACCCTCGATCAGGCCTCGGTTCTGCTGACCAGATTGCCAAAAGAGCTTGCGCGTCAATTAGTCGATTCTGTTGCAAATAAATCAAAACGAAGGGAGCTGGGTCGATATCTGAATTATCCTGCTCACAGTGTGGGCGCGGTTGTATCCAAGCCCACCTTACAATACAGAAGTACCGACCTAGTGAGCACCGTGATTGGCGATTTAGCGAAGCGTGAAGACCGATCTGAACCGTCGATTCTGGTGGTCGATGCGGAGAGTAAGTATCTTGGGGTCTTGGAAACCTGGCAGTTGTTCCGCGCCATGAATACGAATTTGGCTGTGGCTGGTTTGATCAATGAGGTTGAGCCTTTACTGGCAGAAATTGATCATTCCACCGCCATGTTAAATGAGCTGTGGACAACCCGCAGTTGGATCCCCGTAATTGATTACCAGCGACGTCTGATCGGAATTTGTCGCCAGGGACACCTCGCCCAGGAGTATCAGCAGTTGGAACCACCGCCGCCGCACGCTTTGGCCCGTTCAGTGGAAGCTATGGTTGGGCAGATGTTTCATATTTTCCTGTCTTTGTTCGAACTGCTTTTAAGTCGAAGTAAAAACCGATGAACACAGTCACTGATTTAGGCCGGTCATTTATCAGACGGCAACCTGAGGCCGCTGCTCGGGTTCTTGAAAAACTGCCGCTGGCGGAGTTATCAGCAGAAATCCAATTTTGCGATGCAGGTGAATTGACACCTGCGCTGGAAGTCATGGCGACCAGTACGGTACTGACAATATTCCAAACGCTGACGGAACCGATGCAGTGTAGTGTCTTGGAACTGGCTTCCCCGCGACTGGCTATGCTGATTTTTGATGGCTTGGACAGTGGGCATCGAGATCAGCTGTTGCAGGTATTGCCGCCGGCTATTGCTGAAGATTTAACTCGGCTTATGCAGTTTCCGCCATATTCTGCCGGTCGCATGATGGACCCGCCTTTTGAAACGGTTCGAGTGCACACAACAGTTAACGAGTTGCGTGATTTGTTGCGCTCCTCGAGCTTGCGTCGAGCCCGGTCCGTATATGTCGTAGATGATCGTAACAAGCTTGCGGGGCGTGTCGATATGCAAGCACTAGCCCTTGCAGAGGCCGGTCAGGACATCAGTCAAATCATGGTTGGCGTTGAAGGCAGCGTGCTTGCAACAGCGGGGCGTGAAGAAATAGTTGAGCAATTAGATCGTCTGCGGGTGGATTCAATCCCTGTGGTGGACGTAGAAGGCAGATTGCTGGGTGTTGTGCGTTATCAGCGTCTGTTTGATGCTTTAGAGAGTGTTGCGACCGCTGACCTGCAAAAAATGGTGGGTGCCAGTGCGGACGAACGGGCGATGTCGAAAGCCTCTTTTGCGGTAAAACGGAGGCTGCCCTGGTTACACATCAATCTGTTAACCGCTTTCCTTGCGGCATCCGTCGTTGGGTTGTTTGAAGGATTGATTTCGCAATTCACAGCCCTTGCTGTGCTTTTACCCGTTGTAGCGGGGCAGTCGGGAAATGCGGGTTCCCAGGCCCTGGCCGTGACCATGCGTGGTTTGGCGTTGCGGGAAATAGGTACACGTCACTGGCGTAGTGTCCTGAACAAAGAGGTACGCGTTGGTATAGTTGATGGACTGGCGTTAGCGTTGACCTGTGGTCTAGGGGTATTCTGGTGGAGTCAATCCTTCGGTTTGGCACTGGTCATCGGTGTGGCCATGATCCTTTCGATGATAGCCGCGGGTATTTCCGGCGCTCTGGTTCCCATTGTTCTGATTCGGCTCGGACAAGACCCGGCGACAGCCGCCTCTATTATTCTAACCACGGTGACAGATGTCGCCGGTTTTTTTGCATTCCTTGGAACCGCATCGTTGCTATCGTTTATGCTGTGATGTCTGCGTTCAGCGTCTAACTGTCGGAGTAATTAGTCAGGATTTTGACCGGTGCAATCAGCAAGGGGTTGGCTGTGCCGAGCTTGTTCTGGTCCTTGCCTGTGTATTCGAACTGGCTGAGGACATAGCGCATGGTTTCCAGGCGGGCGCGTAATTTATCTTCACCTTTGACGATGATCCAGGGTGCTTCAGCGGAGTCCGTGCGTCTGAACGTTTCTTCTTTTGCCTGGGTATAGTCGTCCCAGCGACTCTGCGCTTCTTTGTCTACAACTGAGAATTTCCACTGTTTCAGGGGGTTAGTCGCCCGTTCTTCGAAGCGCTGGGCCTGTTCCTGACGACTGATAGAAAGATAGAATTTGATAATAAACGTACCGCTCTTCACCAGCATACGTTCGTAATCAGGGGATTGCACAAGAAACTGCTGGTATTCCTCATCGCTGCAGAAGCCCATTACTTTTTCAACGCCAGCACGGTTGTACCAGGATCTATCGAAAAAAACGATTTCACCAGCACTTGGCAGGTGTTGAACGTAACGCTGGAAATACCATTGTCCAGACTCTCTTTGGTCAGGCTTTTCCAGCGCAACCACTCTTGCGCCTCGGGGATTGAGGTGTTCCATAAAACGTTTGATGGTGCTGCCTTTGCCTGCTGCGTCCCGGCCTTCAAAAATCACAACGAGTTTGTTACCGGTTTCTTTGATCCAGTTCTGAAGTTTCACGAGCTCAATCTGGAGTTCTCGCTTTTCTTCAAAGTACTGCTTCGGTTTCAATCTCTCGCTGAAGGGATAGATGTTGTCAGCAAAATAGCGACGGATAGTCTCTGCAGAAATTTCCGCGCCTGCTGGCGGTTTTCCTGCGATGGGCTGTCGATTGGACTCATCAAGATCCAAAGAATCGAGGATGTAGTCAGTCCATTTGTCGTCCATGCAAGCTCTCTCCTGTTTCAGTTCTGGGGTCCAATTCGATCAATGCCTGCGTAGATTTGGCGGTGCCAACAAACAGATTCGTGTTTTCAGGTGGTTCGCGATGTTTGATCAGCCAGATGAGAATCCAGATGAAACACAGGGTTAAACCAGCAGCCAGATAGGCAAGAAAGCCCGATGGTCCGATTTGCGCCATCGCATTTGCGCCAAGCAGAGGTCCTGTAATCGAACCTGCGCCGTTGACCAGTAGGATCACCGTGCCCACCTGCAGGAATTGCCCTGGGTAGCGATCGTTTGCATGCGCCAGGCACAGAGGGTAAATGGCAATAGCACTACCGCCGATGATGAAAAACAACAGCATTACCAGCCAACTGGGAGGCTGTTGCAGCAGAGTGCCAACAATCGCTGTGATGATGCCAATAATCAACAATCCCATCATGACTTTGCGGCGATCGTAGCGATCGGAAATATGTCCAGCGGGAAGCTGAAAAGCCGCGCCTCCCAGCACCATGACTATCATCAGCCAGGCAATCTCGCTGACGGACAACCCCGCAATCTTGCCGAATACGGGGGTCAGACCAAACAACGCGCCGGTAACGGTACCGATGGCAAGTGCGCCGCCAACAGCAGCGGGGGAGGCGTGATAGATATCCTTGAAGCGAAACTCGAGTGTTGCAAGCGGTGCAGGCTGTTCAACTTTCGACAGTGCTACCGGAATGATGGAGAGAGACAGCAGCAGGGTGCCCAGTACGATGGTGGTGAAGCCGCTGGGACTGCCCAGGTTAATCAGTAATTGCCCGACACTCATCGACAACAGAACGATCACCGTATAAACAGCCAGGATGCGCCCTCGCTTGGCATTATTAGTGTACTCATTCAGCCAGCTCTCGATAACCAGGTAACAACCTGAAATGCCGATACCGGTCATTAAGCGTAGCCCGGACCACACATAGGGGTCGTCTGATAGAAGGATGCACAACAGAGCGGCGCCGTTGATGGTGGTCAGGGTTGAAAAGGTACGGATATGACCTACGGCTGCTACAAACCTGGGAATAAAGATACAGCCCAGCAGGAAGCCGAGAAAATAGAAAGAGCCCGTCATCCCAATGTCGTTTATCGACCAGCCGAGTGACTCAGCCCGTAATGGTAACAACGTCAGCTGCAGGCCGTGACCGATCAGCAATATGATCACTGACGCGAACAGAACGGCAAGACTCCGGGTGCGGGACAGCATCAATTCAAGTTTCCTTTTATTGTGCCTGACCGTTGATTGATATGGGCTTATCTGATGCAAACAGTTTTAAAAATTTACGCTCACCTTCCGGGGTGCCGATCAAAACGATTTCTTCGTTGGCCTGCAGACGTGTGTCGGGTTCCGGGTTGGTGATGGTCCGGTTGTCTTTGTCGATACCAATAACGCTGCAGGTTGTCAGGTGTTTGATATTCGCTTCTTCCAATGTCTTATCAACAAGTTGTTGAGGCACCTCTACTTTGAAAACATCCAGACCTTCAGCAACCATCAGAAGATCGCTGCGCTGGAGCAGGTTAAACAGTGCGTTTGAGCCCATCGAAGCATAAGACATGACAATGTCGGAGCCTGCCCGGTGCAATCCTGCAACGCTGGTTTCCAGGCTTGCGCGGCAGATAATCTGGATATCCGGGCGCAGCAAGCGGGAAAAAATTGTCAGATAGGTGTTTGTCTCATCGTCTTTTGTTGTAATGATGACAGTGGGTGCTTTGTCGATGCCTGCCTGGCGCAATATGTTTTTGTCCGAAGCGGACCCTAGAATGTATTTATCCGAATCTGGTACGCGCTCTGGAATCTGTTCAACGATGCGATAGTCGATGCCGCGTCGTGCCAGCGCACGAGCAGTGGCACGACCTACGCGGCCGCCGCCGATAATGATGACGGGTTTGTGTTCGCTTGTTTGCATTTCGTGACAATACAATCGGTTGAACTCATCAAGCTGGGCTTTTGATCCAGCCATCACGAGAAGGCTATGGGGTTCGATCTTGCTGTCCTGTTCACCGACTTGAAAGGTGCCACGATCCCAGAAACCGACGATGCTGACGCTGGTTTGTCGTTGTGCGGTAATGTAGTCGATGCCCACTAAATTAGTTTTGGATGCATCCACTTCGGCAATCAGGAGGTCATCAATATTGCCGATGATGTGAATCAGCTCGTTACCCCCAATTGCACGCCTTGCCAGGCTCTCAGACATCAGATGTGTTAAATCGAGTACCCGTGACGAGCCTGCCAGGCGCAACACATCTTTAGAGTCGCTGTCTCTGGCGGTAGCGATGACCGGTGTGGTTTTAGTGATACCGCGTACGGTAAAAACTATTGATGTATTGGCGATGTCTGTGCGGGTCGTGGCAACCAGGGAAGCCTGTTCCACCCGCGCGTTGATATACGTTTCCGGCAGATTAAGCTCGCCATGAATCGCGTTAATGCCGTGGTCAATCAACTGCATGACCTCATCTGCTTCCGGCAGAATAACCACGTATGGATATTTGAACTGTTTGAGTTTTGCGATCAGTGCACTGGCTACCGGGCCATAGAACGTCATGATGACGTGCCCGGTTAAGTTGTCGTTTACTTTCCGAGGAATGCGATTCGCAGCACGCATTTCAACCCAGGGTGCGTAGAAGAGCTCCATAAATGTAAATGGCAGTAGCACCAACATGAAGATTACGCCAGACAGCAATACGAATATAGAGAACAAACGACCCGGGTCTGAAACAAAACTGACGTCACCATAGCCAAGCGTCGACATGGTCGACAAAGTCCAGTAGAAGCCGGTCACCCACGAGTGTGTCTGACCCTCGTAGGCCATGAGCAGCTGAAAGATCACCGAGAAAAGACAGATGAGCCCCAGCAGTACGGCTACAAATCGGAGTAACCCCAGCAAATTGCGCTGCTGCAGCAGTTGCAGCATTCGGTGTCTTGGTAGCTCTGAGTTCATGAGGGGCGTTCGGGTATTTTCAAGCCAGCAGGAGGTTGCAGATCATCACGTTGCGCATAGTACATGATGGCGCTGGTTTTGTGCCCCCGGCAATGTGCATTTAGTAAAACGTAATACCATCTCCATGCCAGGTATCGGCTACAATGGCCTTCGCTTATCTGATTGTTATTCTTGATGGAAAATCTTGTCTGGCTTGGCATAGTCCTGTGTGTGACTCAATCTGCTATGTTTTCAGGTCTGAATCTGGCCTTCTTTGGGGTTTCACGGTTGCAGCTGGAGGTGGAAGCTGAAACCAATATCAGGGCCGAGCGCGTCCTGCGCATGCGCCAGGATTCAAACTTTCTGTTGACGACCATTTTGTGGGGCAACGTCAGTATCAACGTGCTGCTCACGTTGTTGTCCAACTCCGTGCTGACGGGGGTGATGGCGTTCGTTTTCTCAACCTTTGTGATTACTTTTTTAGGCGAGATCTTTCCGCAGGCCTATTTCTCTCGCAATGCGTTAAGGATGGCATCGTTACTTTACCCAATTCTCCGGTTGTATCAGATTATTCTCTATCCGGTTGCCAAACCTGCAGCCATGATTCTGGATGCGTGGCTTGGCAAGGAATCTGCCGAACTGTTTCGAGAGCAGGTGATCAAAGATATGTTGATGAAACATGTCGAAGCCCATGATAGCGATGTGGGCGAAGTGGAGGGTATCGGCGCGCTCAACTTTCTGGAGATTGACGATCTTGAGGCTTTTGAGGCGGGGGCGCTTATCGACCCGTCCAGTGTGTTAAAGCTGCCGACAGATATAGATCTGCCGCGCTTGCCCGAGCACAAACAGACCGCTGATGACCCCATCCTGCAGAAGATTCACGCGTCTGGCAAAAAGTGGGTGGTGCTGGCAGACCTCAAAGGTGAGCCCCAGCTCCTGCTGGATGCGGATGAATTCCTGCGTGCATCGTTGCTCGATAAAGGGCCGATTAATCCATACAAGTATTGTCACCGCCCGATTATCCTGACCAACCCAAAAACCAAATTGGGTAAAGTGTTGCTCTTGTTGCGGCAGAGTAAAACGGTCAATCGCGGGGTGATTGAAAATGATGTTGTGCTGATCTGGTCGGCACAGCCAAGGATAATTACCGGGGCTGACCTGTTCGATCGCCTGCTGCATGGAATCAAGTGATCGCTGTCATACTCTTTTTGTTAACAATACACAGGCTGTGAAGGACAATTCGGTTGAATCAGGTTAATGACGACTCATATATTACTGCCTTATTGGATGTGCTGAAAAATTCTACGGATGCAGATCGTTATCCGTTAGTGCAGGTGTTCACCAGGGCTCTCTGGTCCAGGTCGTTGGAAGAAGATGTCGCTTCGCGAGACGTGCGCGATGATATGGGTGGCACTATCGTAGCCTTTCAGCATCTACAGGACCGCCGGTTAGACGAAGTCAGTTTCCTGCTTAAAAATCCGATACGGACCCGGGATGGCTGGCATTCGGAGCACAGTGTGGTGGTGGTAGCTGCGCCTAACATGCCGTTCATGGTCGATTCTGTATTAATGGCCCTGTCTCATGATGGTTTGGTTACCCATCACTTGAATAATGCTGTTTTTGCTGTGGAGCGTGACGCGGACGGCAAGCTCCTGAATCTGTCCACTGAAGTCGATCATGCGAACCGCGAACTGATCATTTATGCGGAAATCGATCGCTTGGAAGATGATGCTTTGCCCCAGCTGCAATCCAAGCTTGAGTCCATGGCCAAAGACCTGCAGGCCGCGGTCACCGATTTCCCGAAGATGAAAATCAAGATGGAGGCGTTGATTGATGACTTAAAGCACAATCCGCCTCCTCTGGATGAGCACGATATCAGCGAAAGTATTGCTTTTCTGGAATGGCTGCTGGCCAATCATTTCACTTTTCTTGGAGTGCGGGAATTTCAATATAGCGACGGCGTCATTCGTCAGACGGGTCAGGCATTGGGTACCCAGCGGGTCAGACCTTCGGCGACGGAACGCACCATCGCCGCGCAACCCCAGCGTACTCAGGATTTTCTATTGAAGCCTAAGCCACTCACGTTCTCCAAATCCGGGACGAAGTCTCGAGTGCACCGGCCAGCATATCCAGATTACGTGGGTATCAAACAGTTTGATGAGCAGGGTCGTGTCATTGGTGAAACGGGCTTTTTAGGACTCTACACCTCCAGGGTATACATGGAGTTGCCAGAACGTATTCCTGTCGTTCGCCACAAAGTGTCAAACGTTCTGCAAAGGTCCGGTCTGGATCCATCAGGTTTTGACGGCAAAGTTCTGGGGCAGGTTTTAGCAACCTATCCACGTGATGAACTGTTTCAGATCACTGAAACAGAGCTGTATGAAACAGCAATGGTCATTACGGATATACATGAGCGCAGGCGTGTCCGTGTGTTCGCACGTTACGACGCGTACGGGTTGTTTGTGAACACTCTGGTGTACATGCCCAGAGACCTGTTCAGCACCTCGGTCCGGTTAGAGCTGGAAGCGCTGTTGGTGAAGACTTTTGCTGCTGAAGACTCTGAATACGATATTCTGTTATCGGAATCGATTCTTATAAGGGTTCAGTTCATTCTGCGCGTGAGCCCCGGCCAACAGATTCAAGTCGACCGCATTGGGCTCGAACAGCGTATCGCTGAACTGATAGGCGATTGGAATTCAGAGCTCTACGAAGCGCTGGTCAGTCAATTCGGCGAACGTGCTGCGTTAGTTATGCGCAACAGCTATGCGGACGCTTTTTCCGCTGGTTACCGCGAGTCTTTTACAACCATTGATGCGATTGATGATATCCAGGTGATCGAGCAGTTAACTGAGCTTTCACCCCTCAGTACACGGCTTTATCGCGTACCTGGTGATCCGTCAGATCTCCTGCATCTGAAGATATTTCATCGGGGAGCAGCTTTGCCGCTATCTGATGTGGTGCCTAAGCTTGAAAACCTGGATCTGCGCGTCATCGGCGAACACCCCTACGCGGTGGCTCGCAAGGATGCAGATTCTGTTTCGATTCAGGTTTACGAACTCCGATTTACCGGTGAGCTGGATCTGCAGGAAGGCGGTGAGGATCTGAACGATGCATTTATCAATGTCTGGAATGGTTTTGCTGAAGATGACAGCTTTAACCGTCTGATCTTGCGAGCAGGTTTGTCCTGGCGACAGGTGAGTGTCCTGCGCGCCTTTGCTCAGTATATGAAGCAAATTAGATTTGGCTTCTCCCAGGCGTTTATCAGTGAGGCATTGTTTCGTCACGCGGACACTGCCAGCCTGTTGGTGGACTATTTTGAACGTAAATTTGCAGTGGACGGTCAGGACTCTGATAGTGCCTCAGTGCTCGATCTGGAAAGTATCAAGCAACGTATAACCACTGCGTTGGATGACGTGGAGCTTTTGAACGAAGACCGTATTCTGCGTCGGTTTCTGGAACTCATGGATGCCAGTAAGCGCACCAACTATTACGTGACAGATGCCGAAGGTAAGCATCGTCCCTTTCTGTCTATCAAGTTTATGCCCAGGGAAATCACTGCCATGCCTCTACCGGTGCCGCTGTACGAGATCTTCGTCAGTGCACCCTATCTGGAAGGCGTCCATCTTCGTGCAGGCAGCATTGCGCGAGGTGGCCTGCGTTGGTCGGATCGCCTTGAAGACTACCGTACAGAAGTGCTGGGTCTGGTCAAAGCCCAGGTGGTCAAAAATGCTGTCATTGTGCCAACGGGTGCAAAAGGTGGCTTTGTGATCAAGGACGCTCGAGCGGGAATTGATGGATACCAGGACTTCATCCGTGCTCTGTTGGATGTCACAGATAATATTGTAAATGGCGAAGTGAAAACACCGGATCAGGTGGTGGCCGTAGATAACTCTGACCCGTATTTTGTTGTCGCTGCAGATAAAGGCACAGCCACCTTTTCCGATACAGCCAATAATATTTCCAGGACATACGATTTCTGGTTAGGGGATGCATTTGCATCTGGCGGTTCTAACGGCTATGACCATAAAAAAATGGGCATTACTGCTCGAGGTGCCTGGGTCTCAGTGCAAAGGCACTTCGCTGAAATGAATATAGACGTGCAGACAGATCCAATCACAGTGCTTGGCGTCGGTGATATGAGCGGTGACGTTTTTGGTAATGGCGTGTTGAGATCGGAATCGTTGTTGTTGGTCGCCGCGTTCAATCACCTGCATATATTTATTGACCCAAACCCCGATGCAGCGGCCAGTTATGCTGAGCGCCAACGCCTGTTTGCGTTGCCACGTTCCAGTTGGAGCGACTACAACGAGGCATTGATCAGCGCTGGCGGTGGCGTATTTTCGCGCACCAGCAAACGCATCACCGTGACCCCTGAAATGTCTGCTCGATTTGATATACCACAAGGCGATATGGCGCCTGATGATCTCATCCACGAACTGTTAAAGAGCCCTGTTCAGCTGATCTGGAATGGTGGTATCGGAACGTACGTGAAAGCCAGTTCTGAGAACCACGAAGAAGTTGGTGACAGAATCAATGATCACCTGCGCGTTAACGCTGACGAACTCAAAGCCAGGGTGGTTGGTGAGGGCGGTAATCTGGGGATTACGCAACGCGCGCGGGTAGAGTTTGCGCTGAAAGGTGGCGCCGTTAATACAGACTTTATTGACAACTCTGCAGGTGTCGACTGTTCCGACCACGAAGTGAATATAAAAATTGTTTTAAACGAATTGGTTGCGCGTGAAGATTTAACGCGCAAGCAACGCAATTCCGTTTTGGAATCAATGACGGACGAAGTGGCCGCTCTGGTGTTGGCCAACAGCTTTGATCAGGCGCAAACGTTAAGCCTGGCGGTACGGCATGAGAAAGGTCATCAGAGTGAGTACCAGCGCTTGATGGGTGTGCTGAGTACCCATGCCGGATTGAACAGGGCGCTTGAATTCCTGCCCTCGGATGAGAGTCTGGCGGAAAGATATGTGAATGAAGACAGTTTAACCCGCCCTGAACTCGCGGTGCTTCTGACCTATACCAAAACATACATCAAAAACTGCCTGATTGAGGGGGCTGTGCATCAGGATCCGCTGATTGCTCAACGGATAGTCAATGCGTTCCCTCAATCGCTGGTAGCGCAGTTTGAGGCGGACATCAAATCGCATAGGCTTGCGCCGGAAATCATAGCAACTCAACTTGCCAACGAAATTGTTGGTCACATGGGTATCACGTTTGTCTCGAGTTTAAGTGAGTCAGTCGGCTGTGCAGTCATCGATGTTGCCAAAGGCTACGCTGTCGCGGCGGCCTGTTTTGACTTTTCTACCTGGTTTGACGTGGTTGCCACGGCGCCGGGGCTCAATGCGCAACAACAGCTGCATGTTCTTGATAGCGTGGCTCAGTTAGGCAGTCGCTCAACGCGCTGGATTTTGCGGAACTGTGATGTAACGGGCTCCCTCGAAACATTAGTGAACCGGTTTAAACCAGCGCTGGATGTTGTAGCGCACTCTGCAGCGCCTAACATCCCGGAGTCCGATCTGGATACCGCCGTCAGTGCGGCGCTTGAGAAAGGCGGATTACCTGCGCATCTGGCCCAGCACTGGAGTGATGTGCAGGTTTTCACGCAGATGCTGCCGGTTGTTGCTGTTGCAGAACAGCAGGGTTGCGATGTCGCGGCTCTGGTCGACGTCAGTGGTCGGGTTGCAGCGCAGTTAAGCATTGATTGGTTAGTTTCCCGGTTAACCGATTTGAACACGGATTCACATTGGCAGGCCCTGCAGATTGATGCTTTATACGACGATCTGTTCCGCCTGCAATGTGCGTTCAGTGCACATGTGCTAATAACGGCGGACGGTGATTTTGCACAATGGCAGCGCCAGAACCCCGGTGCCCTTAACAGCTGGTTTAGCGCCATAGAAGAGGTGCAAACATCGGGCGCGACGGATATCGCTTTGTATGCGCTTATCGTGCGGCGGCTGACGGATACCTGTGGGAAATTGGGATGCGCCTAATCATCAGTGTTGTGGTAACCCTGGCGATTGTTCACTATACGCCGCCCACAGTGAGTGGGTCTATTTTAGGTACTGAATCGAAATGACTTATTGTGTTGGCATCGCCGTCGATGAAGGGCTGGTTTTTGTCTCTGACTCCCGCACAAACGCAGGTGTGGATAACGTCAGCACGTATAGCAAGATGCGTCGTTACGGCGTGGCTGGCGAGCGCCAGTTTATCATCTGCACAGCGGGTAATCTGGCCACAACGCAAGGCGTGATCGCTCAGGTTGAACGGGATATGCGTGATGACGTCGAAGTCAATCTCATGAACGTCAGCTCCGTTGCTGAAGCTGCCAGTTACGTTGGTGCGCTTAATCTTGAGCAGCAGAAAAAGAATACGGGTGGCGGTCCGGTTTTTGAGGCCAGTCTGCTGCTGGGTGGGGAGGTGGCTGGCGCGCCGCGACGTCTGTTCAGAATATATGCTGAGGGTAACTATATCGAAACCTCTGATCAGACACCTTTCCTGCAGATCGGCGAATCGAAGTACGGCAAACCTATCCTTGACCGTGTGCTGTCGGTGGACACGCCGCTGGAACGAGCCGCCTTATGTGGGCTGGTATCCATGGATGCCACGATGCGCAGTAATCTCACTGTTGGGCCGCCGATAGAAGTGTGCATATACACTACAGGTAGTTTAGCGCCGTGCCGGTATGTCTCATACGATGAGGACAGCGATTTTCTGCGTACACTGAAAAGTAACTGGAACCAGGAGATCAAGAAGGCGTTCGACCGAATGCCCCACATGGTCTGGAACCATGGGGACAAATCATGACCATCCGCGTTGCACTGCAGCACAACACACATTACAAATTTGATCGGCCGATAACCATTCATCCACACGTCATCCGCCTGCGGCCAGCGCCTCATTCGCGCACTCCGATTACAGCTTATTCGTTGAAAGTGTCACCTGCCGAGCATTTTGTTAACTGGCAGCAGGATCCTTTTGGAAATTATCTGTCGCGCTATGTTTTTCCGGAAAAAAGTAATCACCTTTCCATCGAGGTGTCGTTGATCGCGGACATGACCGTGATCAATCCGTTTGACTTTTTTCTTGAGGAATCAGCCCAGGAATACCCGTTCAGCTACGACAGACAGCTCAAGCGTGACCTCGCGCCTTATCTGGAGATCACAGACAAAGGGCCGTTGTTGACTAAATGGCTGAAGGACGTGAAACGTAAACCTACCGCGCTGGTCGACTTCCTTGTGGGTTTGAACCAGCGGGTACAGGGTGACGTTGGTTATCTGGTGCGCATGGAGCCGGGTGTTCAAACCTGTGAAGAAACACTTGGATTAGCCTGTGGCTCGTGTCGCGACAGTGGTTGGTTGTTGGTGCAGATTCTGCGTCACCTTGGTCTGGCTGCGCGTTTTGTGTCCGGGTATCTGGTACAGCTGAAGGCTGATCAGGAAGCCCTGGATGGACCGTCTGGTACAACAGAAGACTTTACTGACCTGCATGCCTGGGCAGAAGTCTACCTGCCCGGTGCTGGATGGATAGGCTTAGACCCCACCTCAGGGTTGCTGGCCGGAGAAGGCCACATCCCCCTTGCCTGTACACCTGATCCAGGAAGTGCTGCACCGGTTACCGGCGCAATTGAGTCTGCAGCCGTCGAATTTGATTTTTTCAATAAAGTTGAGCGGGTACACGAAGATCCCCGGGTCACCAAACCCTATGACGCTGCGCAATGGGACGCAATTAAAAAGCTTGGTGACAAAGTTGATCGCCAGTTGGAAAAAGGTGATGTGCGGCTGACCATGGGCGGTGAGCCCACCTTTGTTTCGATTGATGACATGGACGGTCCGGAATGGAACTACACTGCGCTGAGTGAAGACAAGCGGGCGCTTGCTGGAAAGCTGCTGCAGAGGTTGCGGGCGCAGTTCGCGCCAGATGCATTGCTGCACTTCGGTCAGGGTAAATGGTATCCCGGTGAGCCGTTACCTCGTTGGGCGCTGTCCATGTTCTGGCGACAGGATGGCAAGCAGGTGGTGCTGCACCCGGATGTTGTTGCGGATACGGATGAAGCGCAAAGTTGTAGCGTTGCAGATGCGTTCCGCTTAGCCCAGGCGTTAGCTGAAGGCCTGGGTATAAATTCGGAATATATTGTGCCGGGCTATGAAGATCCGCAACACTACCTGCAGCAAGAGGCGCGCCTGCCGATAAACGTGGATCCTTCAGACCCTAAGCTTGAAGATCCGCTGGAGCGAGAGCGAATGGTTCGCCTGTTTCAGAGAGGTTTGAATAAGGTCAGTGGCTATGCTCTGCCGATCAAATTTAAAGGCGAAGCCGACGGTGGCTATTGGAAATCCAGTCGCTGGCCGTTCCGACAGGACAAAATGATTCTGCTGCCAGGTGACTCTCCCATGGGTTTGCGCCTGCCGTTAGCATCGCTGCCCTGGAAGGCGCCGGAAGAGCGGGACATTGAAACTCAGCGTGATCCGTTTGAATCATTGGATGCGTTAAACGAAGCGGGTGATCAAGTTAACGCCGCCGCCGCCCCGTTGACTGATGCGGACGACGATGAAATTGTACACACAGCGTTGTGTCTGGAAGTGCGTGAGGACAAGCTCTATGCTTTTATGCCTCCTGAAGATCGGTTAGAGGTATATCTCGCCCTTGTTGATGCCATTACAACGGCAGCAAATTCAGCTGGTCTGTCTGTGATTCTGGAAGGCTACGAACCGCCACGTGACCCGCGTTTGCAGATTCTGCAGATCACACCTGATCCGGGTGTCATAGAAGTGAACGTTCATCCGGCATCGAACTGGCGTGACCTGGTGAGCAATACCGAAATCCTGTATGAACAAGCGCGCCAGTGTCGATTGGGTACTGAGAAATTTATGTTGGATGGCCGGCATTCAGGCACCGGTGGTGGTAATCACGTCACCCTGGGTGCTGCTCAACCCGTGGACAGCCCGTTTCTCAGGCGGCCCGATCTGTTGCGCAGTTTTATTACATACTGGCAGCGTCATCCGAGTTTGTCTTATCTCTTTTCCGGTATGTTTATCGGTCCCACCAGCCAGGCACCTCGTGTAGATGAAGCGCGGGACGATAACCTTTATGAACTTGAAATTGCCATGGGACTTTTGCCCGAAGGTGAGACAGAACAACTCTGGCAGGTGGACCGTCTGCTGCGAAATTTTCTCATCGACCTGACCGGGAATACCCACCGAGCTGAATTTTCCATTGATAAGCTCTACTCGCCTGATGGACCTACCGGGCGCAAAGGCCTGGTAGAGCTGCGCGCGCTGGAAATGCCGCCACATGCGCAGATGAGTCTGGTGCAGATGCTGCTGATTCGCGCCATGGTTGCGCGCTTCTGGCGCAAACCCTACAGGCAGCCGTTGATTCGCTGGGGTACGGAACTACATGATCGGTTCATGTTGCGCCATTGTGTTTGGGAAGATATGCAGGAGGTGTTGGCAGACATGTCACGAGCGGGCTATGCCTTCGACGAGGAATGGTTTGCACCCTTTCGCGAGTTTCGCTTTCCGCTGCTTGGCAGTTTCGAGGCCCAGGGTATGCAGGTTGATGTGCACAACAGCCTGGAACCCTGGCATGTGCTTGGCGAAGAAGCGACGGCCCAGGGTACCGCTCGTTACGTGGACTCTACCGTTGAACGACTGCAGGTCTCTGTAAAGGGCTTAAAAGGCGATCGTTATCAGGTTTTGTGTAACGGTCGTCCGCTGCCACTGCGCTCCACCGGCGAGCGGGGTAGTGCGGTGGCGGGTGTTCGCTTCAAAGCCTGGGCGGCGCCGTCCAGCTTACACCCTACCATCGATGTGCATTCGCCGCTGGTGTTCGATCTGGTCGACACCAGCAATCAGCGATCTATCGCTGGCGCCACCTATCATGTTTCACACCCCGGTGGGCGCAACTACGATACTTTCCCGCTCAATGCTAATGAGGCAGAGGCGCGTCGAGGTGCCAGATTTTTCGGTCATGGTGGTTCGCAGGGGCGACTCAAAATAAAGTCTGAAGTGCCTCATCCGGATCAGCCGTACACACTGGACCTGCGCACCCAGCCAAGGCTTCGCTGAATTGGAAATAGATAAGTCTTATAGCATTGCCCATTCCCGACCGGAGGTATACGCCGCCTGGGTATCGTCTGATACCGTCATCCCACCGGCAACGGCGATGGACGTGTTGCCACAGGTTGGTGGGCATTATCGATTGATGATGAAGAAGTTTCAGAGATCGAGGTTTGGTTTCGAGATGAAGGTACGGGTACACGCATCGATCTGCGCCATGCGAAGCTCACCAGTGAGGAAAGTGTGCAGAATCACGATACCGGGTGGGACAACTATATTGCAGGGCTCAAGGGTTTCTTAGGGGTCGACAACTGACTGGATTCAATTGCAGGTGTTAGACGGCACTGTTCGTCAGCTTGAGCAGAGATGGTTTGCCGGGTACTCAGAAGCGATCGGGGAAGTGCAGATTCAACTTTATCCTGATAGCGAGCGATAACATTCAGTGCCATCTGCTTACAGCCCAGAAGTGCCAATGTGTGTGCCAAATTGTTTGTTGCAAACCAGTATTCAGGGTTCCGTTGAATCAGGTCTTCATACATTTCAATAGCGCGAGGGTAGTCTCCAGACTGTTGCCGTGTATTGGCGGTGCCAAACCGTAATGCTGTGCTTTCTGGCCAGCGCTCTAAGCCGGTTTCATAAGCCGACAGGGCGGCTTCAAGCTGGCCGACCTGTTCGAGGGCCGCAACCGATTGGCTGTAAGCCTGCACCTCCGGATTTGCCGGCAGCTCACCCGGATTCAAGACAACAACCCCCCAGCGTTGAGCCCGGTTCCATGTTTTTAACAGCCGGTGAGCTTTGAACAGCTGCCTGCGCTGATTTCCAGAGCGTAAGATAAAATTCTGCTCTGCCGGGTCGAAGCCAATGATCACGGCGTAGTGCCAGACAGGCAACCAGGCCACGCCCAGGTTCTGCAGGATCAACACGGGATAGCCTTGCTCCAGCTCACGCACAATGCCCTTTAGCGAAGGCTGCACAGCAACGGTCAACCGATTCATGCGCCGAGCGGCGGCCACCAGTTCCAGCTGCAGACTGCCTTTGCGGCCGGGCAGATAGACTTGTTCCGCGAGCGTGTCAGGGTCAATGTCCAAGCCGGTCCGGTGCAGGACTGTCGCCAGAGCGTTGGGCCCGCAGAAGTATCCGGTCTGGTCATGGAATGGGGTCTGAGTAAGTTCCAGTGACCCCTGTGTATTCAAGCTCAAGTTTGGCTGGGTCTGACAGCCCGTCAGAACCGCGCCAAAAATCAGTACCCTAAATAGCCGTGAATACGTCTGTAACACCCAGTAACTCAAGAATGAACAGAACGATAACAACAATACCGATGACTTCGGCAATACCACCGGCGCCAGCAGGCATGTCACCTATTTTTGCGTCCAGTAACAGCAATTCCTGCGGGGTCAGAGCTGCAATGCGCTGCTCTGCCTGTTCGGCTGGAACACCAAATTTGATGAGCTGCTGCTGTACTTCTTCGCGGGCGAGAAAACTGCTGATACGTTCACCAGCCTGGATCTGTTGCTCGATCGCCAGAGCGTCGTCGGTGGTAATAAATTGCGCGGATGCATTTGAAGCAAAGGCGCCGGTCAGTAGGGTAACAATGATCAGATTCAGTAAGAGTCGCTGCATGGGAATTCCTTAGTGATGTGTCTTGCATTATACGCATTATTAATGCAACTGTGCGCACGAGAGAAGAGAGAAGGTGACCCCAGTTGAGTTCTGATTTAAAACAGTCTTCGCCGCCCGCTGAGGGTATTGGCCGACTAAAAATTGCGCTGTACGGTATTGCCAATCTGCCAACGTCTACCGTTGGCTTACCCATAGCACTTTATATCCCGGCGTTCTATTCACAGAACCTGGGCCTGTCGCTTGCCGTTGTTGGGGCGCTGATTGCCTTATCCCGATTGACTGATGTGGTCACCGACCCTGCTATTGGTATTGCCTCGGATCGATGGGCGACCCGCTTTGGGCGCCGAAAGCCCTGGATCGCCATGGGGATTCCATTAATGCTCCTGTCGTTATGGATGCTGTTTGTTCCGGACAGCGCTTTCGCCATCGCTGCCTGGCAACTGTTTGGTGGTGAGGCGGTTACCAATCTATATCTCTTTGTCTGGATCAGCGCTTTATATCTCAGTTTTACGCTGGTCGATCTTCCATATCGAGCGTGGGGGGCTGAACTGTCGACGGACTATAACGAGCGCTCTCAAATTACTGGATGGCGGGAAGCTTTTGGTTATGGTGGCACCCTGATGGCGCTGTTGATTCCACTGGTTCTCTCCCTGGGCTTCGGGTTGTCGGGTGCGAACAATGCCCTGCTGGGCATTGCGATTGCTGTGGTCATTCTCCTGCCCATCTTAAGCGCACCGGCACTGTTTTTTGTGCCAGAGCTGCCTTCACGGTCCAAGGCCAAGCAAGAGCGGGTACCGTGGCGACGGGGGCTGAAAATTGTGCTGGCTAATGGACCCTATCGGCGCCTGGTGATCAGCCTGTTGTTCCTGGTCGCCTCGGTGAGCATGACAGCATCACTGTCTTTCTTCTTTGTAGGTTCCGTAATGGAGCAGCCCTTTGATCGTTATGCGCTTTTTGTGCTCGCCTATTACCTATCCAGTAGCCTTGCTATTCCAGCCTGGTTCGCAATTTCGAGGCGCCTGGGCAAACACAAAACAGTTGTTCTTGGCATTGCATGGCTGTCGCTCTGGAGTTCTTTCATTCCGCTGCTCGGACCAGAACACTTCTGGCTGTTCTTTGCGTTGATGATGCTCAAGGGATCCGCTGTGGGTGCATTGGTCTTTTTGCCGGCATCTATGGCTGCGGACGTGATAGACCTGGATACGCTGCGCACCGGAGAACAACGTACCGGGTTGTATTTTTCTTTGTGGGGCATGGTCAACAAGGCTGCAACCGCGCTTGGTGTTCTGTTGGCAACCAATGGGGTTGCCTGGTTCGGTTTCAACCCGTCGGCGGATGAAAACACCGCGGCTGCGAAACTCGCAGTAGCGGTTTTGTACAGTATTGTGCCAGCTATATTAGCTTGTGTGGCATTACCGTTGTTGTGGAAATACCCGCTCACGCAAGTCAGACAGGAACGTATGCGGGCGCATATAGCCAGGCGCGATATTCGCCGTGGAAAGGCTCTATCTTCGGAGTAAAGGGTGGGCTTGGGGTAATGTGTTTTTATTATTTCATGAATCCAAACGTCATGCTCAGGCTCACGTTGCAGTACCTGCTGATGTGCGCAGCGTTCGTTGACTTGTTGTTCGAGTTGTTGGGTTAGTTGCTGCAGTCGTAGCGGGTTTTCCTGAGCTTGTGCAATGGAGTCTGGACTGAGTGTAAGGTCGGGGCGTTGTAGCCAGGGAAGCAAGGTTTCTAACGCCATCCGCGGCTCACCCAGCGCTGTTTGTGAATTCACCACCTGGGTCTTAGCAATATACATGCGCGATTCATGGCCTGGCTGTTTCCAAGCTTCGTATGGACAGGTCTGTTATTCCCATATTGATCAGCGGCGTTGCTCTGTTGTGGTGCAGGACATACAACATTTCCTGATCATCTGTGGCGACAGCTGCGGATAGCGATGCCACAATCCAAAGCGTCAAGGTAAACCTGCTCTTTGGGTCTGAGTTGATAATCATTCAGTAATCGTAAAGCCTCTCTGCAAGAAAGCGGTCGCTATTTGTAGAACGGCACGCAGTTTGCATCACTCAGGTTGCAAAAAGAAAGTCTGAGGCCGACACAGCTGTTGCTTCTTGTTTTGAACGAATCAAAACGCTGCACCGCAAAATGTTGGCCATGTTTTTTTCATCGGCGTAAGCTTGAACAATAGACAACTGGGAGGTGGTAAGTGGTGAAACTGATTAGATGCGTTATAGGAACCATAAGTCTGGCGGCTCTGTTTCTTTCACAATGGGTTGTGGCACAAACAAGTGGCTCGCCGATGATGGAAGAAATTATTGTTACTGCGCAAAAGCGCGAGGAACGGCTGCAGGAGACCCCTGTTTCTGTTACAGCGTTTTCTGGCGATGCCATTGAGGCACTCGGATTTCGGCAAAGTGTTGACATCACAGCGCAGACGCCAAATTTCAGTGTTGGTTATCCTAACGGGGATACTGGTGTACCAGCCCCTTTCATCCGAGGCGTGGGACTAAATGATTTTGGTGTTCTAAATCAGGGGCCCATAGCCGCTTATATGGATGAGACGTATATTTCTTCCAACGCGGTACAAATTTTTCAATTGCTTGATGTTGAAAGGGTTGAGGTTTTGCGTGGTCCCCAAGGCACGTTATACGGGCGAAACGCAACTGGAGGCGCGGTAAATTTTGTCTCGCGCAAGCCTACACGAGAATGGGAAGGCTGGGTTCGTGCCGGCATCGGCAGTTGGGACCAACGCAAAATTGAGGGGGCGTTTGGTGGTCCTCTTGGGGACAACACCGCGTTCAGAGCGGCGCTACTCAAGAGCGATTCTGATGGCTGGATGAAAAACAGGTTTACCGGCAATGACCAGCAGGGCACGGATGAATTAGCCTGGCGTGTATTGCTCGAGACGCAACCGACGGACAGTTTAAATCTTCTGTTCAATGTGCGCGGTGGTAAGACAGAATCTGATGCGGTCCAATATAGACATCTGGGGGTTTGGGACACAGATGGCAATATGTGTGGCAACCAGGCGATTCTGGCCGGGCAGTGCGTTGATATATTTGGATATTCGGAGCAGGCAGCGTATACAACCTTGAATGGCGATACTGCTCCGGCCGTTCCTGATTATGACGAAGGCAACTACGATTTTGAGGCTAAAAACGATACCGAATTCTGGGGTATTTCTTTAACCGCGGACTGGGCCGTTGGCGATTTTGTCATTACCTCAATCACTTCTTATGATGACGTTGAAGACTTCAGGCCGGAAGAAACGGATGCGGGGCCGAATAATATTCTCACCGGTGAACTGGCTGTTGAGCAGGAAACCTTCTCGCAGGAATTGAGATTGAGTTGGGCGTCAGATCAATGGTCCTGGCTGGCTGGACTTTATTACCTCAATGACCAGGCGACGGATAATACCGCGTTCGATATTTTACGGGACTTCAGGCCGTTCACGATCGGTGACGACGTCAACTGCACTGCACCTCCAGGCAATCCCGGTGGTTTGTGTCCCGAGCAGTTTGTTTTTAAATCCAAATCAGGTACTGAACAGGAGATCACCAGCTTCGCTGCATTTTTTGATACAAGTTTCGAGCTCAGTGATCGGTTGACGTTGTCAGGTGGATTACGCTATTCCGATGAAGAAATTGAGCATGACAGCTTTTTCTTCTATGACGAGCCGGAAGGAGGCAACCCGGTACAACCTGGATTTCCTGCTGTGGCGGATAATGATTTCAGCAACGTCAGCGGTCGTTTAGTGCTTGATGCGCAGTTGTCTGATGATCTGTTGCTCTATGGCAGCGTGACCAGTGGCTTCAAGGCAGGCGGGATTCAAACCACAAGTGACGGGATTGCGCCATACGATGAAGAAAAACTGCTGAGTTACGAAGTGGGTTTCAAGTCTACGCTGGCAGATGGCCGCGTGCGTTTCAACGGATCTGCTTTTTATTACGATTATGAAGACCTGCAGGTGTTTGCTTTCGTGATTGTTGACGGCATTGGTTTTTCGACGATCTCCAATGCAGCGGATGCTGAAATATATGGCGCGGAATTTGAATTGCAGTGGCTGCCCACTGACAACCTGTTTGTGAATCTAGGTCTGGGTCTGCTCTCAACCGAATATCAGGACTTTGTTACTGCGACAGGGGACTTCAGTGGTAATGAGATCACTATGTCGCCGGAGCTCACGTTTAACGGCTTGATTCAATACGACATTCCTTTGCAGAGTAATGGAGCGATTACACTGCAAGCTGATTTTAACTATCAGGATGAGGTTTACTTCGACGCGTTAAACAACCCATTGCTGCGATAAGACGACTACTGGCTGATGAATGCGCGTGTCAGCTGGACTTCCACAGACGAAAAATGGGAAGTGGCAGCCTTTGGTCGTAACCTGGGGGATGAAGAATATATGGTGTACGCATTTGATCTGTCTTTCTTCGGCTTTAATGAAGAAATGATCGGTACACCCAGAGCCTTTGGATTGGAGGTTACCTATCGACCATGAGGTATAAGTGCGAATATATCCTGCTGCTACTTTTGATGGCGACACTCAGCGGCTGCAGTGAACAGCCGGCTGAAACGGACATTAAGCAACCAGTGTCCTCGGTTGCGGCAGTAGAAACTGAAACAGTGGCGATTGATGACAATCAAACCTTAACAACCCGGCAGATGCAGATGTGGTCGGGGAGTTGTGCCTTGTGCCACGTCAATGGCAATGCGGGCGCACCTGTTGTGGGTATTGCAGAACACTGGCAGCCCCGTGTAGCAAAAGGAATGCAGACGCTTCTACAACATACAGTTCAAGGTTTTAACAGTATGCCACCGCTCGGTTATTGCATGGCCTGTGAGACGGAAGACTTCAGTGCAATGATTCGTTTTATGTCAAAGAATCACTCAACGTCCAGTGCTACAACTCTAATGGGAGAAACGGCTCTAATGGGAGAAACAGCTGTAGTGGGAGAAAGTGAATGAGTTATTCCCGTCGACAATTTATGGCCAGCAGTGCGTTGCTTGGATTGTTTGCTCCGTGGCGGTCCGCGTTGGCTCAACAATCAACGACACCCTGGCGTAACTGGTCTGGAGGTCAGGTTTGCCATCCAGCGGGGCGCTTCTCACCTGCATCCGAAGATGAGTTGATGGATTATCTTCGGCGTACCTCAGGCGAAATCAGGCCGGTGGGGTCAGGTCATTCTTTCAGTGCGCTGGTGCCCACAGATGGGCATCTGCTTGTCATTGATCAGCTACACGGTCTGCTTAATCATGATGCCGATCTGATGCAGGCAACATTTGCAGCGGGAACGCGTCTGGGTGATATCGGTGCGCCGCTGCAAAGGGTTGGCCAGGCGATGTTGAATCTGCCGGACATTGATCGCCAGACGCTCGCCGGAGCGACGGCTACCGCAACACACGGTACTGGCATTGCGTTTACCTGCCTGTCTGGCTTTGTGACAGCATTGCGTCTGATTACGCCAAGTGGTGAAGCACTTGATGTCAGTCCCTCGTCAAATGCTGATCTTTTTGCTGCAGCCCGGGTGAGTCTGGGTGCGCTGGGTATCGTTACACAGATGACGCTGCAGAATCGCACCCCGTACAAATTGAAGGCGAAGAACTGGGTACAACCTATAGAAGAGGTTTTAGAAACCTTTGATGAATCGGCGGCGAACCATCGGCACTTTGAGATGTTTCCGTTAACTCATTCAGACTACGCACTCACTCTGGCCATCGACGAAACGGATGAAGACATCAATAATCCGCCACCGTCACCGGAAGACGAGGCGGCTTTTGGTGAAGCCATGGCTTTCTGGGCAACCCTGCCACCCAAAGAGCGCCTGCCGCAAATCAACGCGCTGGCCGAGCAGATAGGACCCACAGAGGCGATTGATGAGTCTTATAAAATACTCAGCAACGTTCGCAACGGGCGCTTTAATGAAATGGAATATTCAGTACCGCTGGAGGCCGGAGCGGACTGTCTGCGCGAAATTCTGCGGACCATTATCGATAAAGAAATCGATGTGGTTTTCCCCCTCGAATATCGCTACGTGAAACGTGACGATACCTGGCTGAGTATGAGTGCCGGGCATGAAGATCACGCTGCGATTTCGATACACCGTATGGCGGGCGAGGATTTTCGACCCTACTTTGATCTCATAGAACCCATTTTCTGGAAGTATGGCGGGCGACCACACTGGGGCAAAGTTCATTCGTTGGGCAAAGCTCAGCTTGAACAGCTATATCCAAAGTTCAGGGACTTTCAGGCGCTGCGTGCAGAACTTGACCCTGCCGGACGAATGTTAAATCCACATCTGAAAAAAATATTTCTGGGGTAGTTTGATGCGCAGGCGAAGATTACTGAAAAGCTTAGTGGCTGCTGGTGTTGCCGGCAGCAGTAATGTGTTGTGGGCGCCGGGCGCAATGGCAACAACACACAATGCAGGGCACAACAGCTATTTCTCTGCTTTGAATGAGATGCTCAAACGAGAGGGTCCGGGGCATCCTGTGATGTTGATAGACACTGCTCGGATGATGCATAACATATCGCGCATAACGCAATCTGTTGGCGATCAAAAGCGCTATCGCGTTGTTGTGAAATCACTGCCCTCGGTGCCCCTGCTGCGGGAAGTCATGGACAAAGCCCAAACACAATCGTTAATGGTGTTTCATCAACCTTTTTTAAGCGCTGTAGCCCAGGCATTTCCCTTTTCTGACGTGCTCTTGGGTAAACCCATGCCGATTAGGGCTGTACAGAGTTTTTACAGTGAGTTGGACCATAAAAAGTACGATGCGGAAAAAAACGTGCAATGGCTGGTCGATTCCAAACAGAGGCTTTTGCAATACCAGGCATTTGCTCGACAGCACGGTCTGCGTCTTGGTATCAACTTTGAAATTGATGTCGGTTTGCATCGTGGTGGCCTGGCGCAGCCGGAAGTGTTGAGTGAGTGTCTAGCCATCATTGCCGCTGATGATGAGCACTTACATTTCACCGGACTCATGGGTTACGAGCCTCAGTTGACTGGTCTGAAAGCAGATCTGTCGCATCCCGCCGTAGTGGAGGTGCTGTCTATCTACCGTGGCTTTATCGATCGCGCTAAACTTGCTGGCTATGATCCAGAGAAGCTGGTGTTAAACGGCGCAGGAAGCCATACCCTGAAGATTTATGAGAAAGATAACACCATGAACGATCTGTCAGCCGGTTCCGGCGTGGTCATGCCAACTGACTTTGATACGTTCCACCTCACTGACCATCAGCCAGCACTTTTTATCGCAGCGCCAATTTTGAAGCGGTATCAGCAGAACCCATTTATGGAAAAACCACCAACAGGCATGGAGCAGGTGTATTACATTTACGGCGGATATTGGAAGGCGAATATGGTTTCACCACAACCGGTGGGTGAGCCCATTTATCAAAGTACTAATCAGAGCCCGATACTCGCCAGTGCGGATCTGAATCTGCAGGTGGACGACTATATGTTTTTCCGGCCCACACAGAGTGAATTTGTGATGCTGCAGTTCGGTGATTTGCTGGCCGTGACTGACGAACGTATCAGCCATCAATGGCCGGTTTTCCAACAAACCGGTTAGTGTCAGTCACTGGTGAAGCTTTGTGTTTCTCCCCAATCTGCATCCAGTGCGGAGCGTAGATTCTGCAGACGCGTGATGCCGATGCGTTGGCTTAGTTCTGCTTCCAGCTCAAACAACCCCATTTTTGCGATGTCACCCAGATTTCGGCCGTAATCTGTGAAAACCACGTGTTTCTGTCGACCGTTTTCCGGGTCAGGTGTCATCTCGATAATGCCTTTCTTCTGCAGTGCTTTAAGAGCCTGTTGTGTGGCCTGTTTGGATACCCGTAATTTAGCTGCCAGATCAGAGGGCCTGTCGATCCCTTCAGTGAGATAAATCATCGCCATGGATTGCGCGCGAGGTAGAGATAACCCCGCGTGGCTCTTCATGTAAGCCTGCAATCCATCATCCAGCCAGTAGGTCGCATGCACCAGTGTGCGCAGTAGCCCATGTTCCTGGGCCGCTTCCGGCTTTGTAGCGGTTGCCGTTTTCTGCGGCATTCAGCTTGCCTGGGCGGCTAAACCGGTAATCGTCTCACCATTTGCTTTCACTCCGGCTGCGTTAACAGGCAGGTCGGCGTTGGGCAGGCCGGGCTGCAGGGTGGCACAGAATTCCAGCATGATGCCATCGGGATCAAAGAAGTAGAATGACTGCAACCAGGTCTTTTCCGAAGCAGCTTCTGCAGTTCGTGATTCTTCTCCGGTAACCACATCGTTGTGGTTAACCAGGGCCGAGCAGTCAACGCCTTTACCCACCAGTTTTTCGCGGTAGTCTGCAATCTTGTCTGGAGAGACGTTAAAGGCAACGTGGTTCATTGAGCTGTGTGCTGACGAAATGTTTCCATTGGGACTGCCAACAATGTTGCGTGCTGAAGTGACGCCAGGTTGCGCTTCAGGCGCATCGTTGAACCAGAAGAAAGCCAGTTCGCTGCCATTTCCCATATCAAAAAAGAAGTGTTGACCATATCCTTCAAGGTCAAAACCTTTGGTCAGCTTCATTTCCAGAACGTTGGTGTAGAAGTCTACCGTACGTTCCATATCTTTACAGACAAGCGCCAGATGATGCAGACCGTTTATTTCAAAATTTGCCATTTCTAATCCTCTGTTTTTTTCTGCCAAGCTGCACCGGCCCAGTCAGCCGTCTCGCCGTCACCGGGTACAGGTACTTCACGTATACGTTCTTCAACGTCATCAAACTCCAGTCGCAGTGCCTTGCAGCAAACGGCGTGGAGATTGTATCCCATCGTATGGTAGGTCAGTTCGAGGATGTCTTCATCGCTGAGATGGCGGTGAAGTTCCTCAAACAATTCATCAGATGCACGGCCACCCTGCAGAATAAGGGCGTCAGCCCAGGCAAGCACGGCGCGTTCTTTTGCATCAAACGCATCACTGATTTCCCAGTGTCTGATGTCGTTAATCTGTTGTTCGGTTACCCCGAAACGACGGGCAGCTTTACAATGCTGGGAAAAGACGAACTGGCTGCCCTGGGTGAAGCCGGCACGCATAATGGCCAGTTCGCGAACCTTACCGTCCATTTTGCTGATACTTTCCTGGGCAAACATGCCAAACATGCCGAAATGGTTGGTGGCGTGTTCAAAAATATACGGCACCAGAGCGAACACACTCCACCAGTTGCCTGGCGTGCCGGTAGCTGTACCGGGCTCTGTTACGGGGTCGCGTTCACCAAACAGGCGTTCGTAGAATTTGAGAACTTCCGGTGATGCTTTGGAGCGGGGTACTTGTTTGAGTCTTGGCATGGTTTCTCCAGATATAGTCGATAAATATCGTCAACGTTCAGGACGATCAATATTGTTGACTATAGTTGGGCGTGTCAATAGGATCGTGGTTCTTTGCAGGAATGGGGAGCCGTGCAGATGTCAGAAAACAGAGTCGCAGAAACTAACCGTTTGTTGAATCAACCGTCGGTAGGCTATCAATGGTATGTCATTTTTGTGCTGTTGCTGGCGCAGACCTTTTCTTTTCTCGATCGTATGATCATGGGGCTGCTGGTTGGACCAATACGTGAGACTTTTGAAATTTCTGACACGCAATACAGTCTGCTCGCTGGATTGGCGTTCTCACTGTTCTACGCGGGTATGGGTTTGCCCCTTGCGCGCATTGCCGACAGTAAAAACAGGCGCAATCTGATTTCTGCAGGGATAGCTGTGTGGAGCTTCATGACGGCAATCTGCGGCCTTGCTCAGCAATTCTGGACTTTGTTTGTAGCGCGGGTTGGCGTTGGAGTAGGTGAGGCCACGCTGGGTCCAGGCGCTTATTCGATGATTACTGACTATTTCCCGAAGTCGCAGTTGGCACGGGCACTTTCTGTTTACACCCTGGGTGTCACTTTAGGTTCTGGTTTTGCGTATATGTTGGGTGGTGCCGTGGTTGCCTATGTGCAGACCCTTGGTCAGATAACAGTGCCGCTCATTGGTGATGTCTATGGCTGGCAGCTGACGTTTTTTATTGTGGGTCTGCCAGGTCTGATCGTCGCTTTGTTGATGTACACCACGGTTAAAGAACCTGAGCGACGTGGGGTGGTGATTGGAGACACACTTTTACCTGTTGCACAGGTTGTCGCTTATGCCTGGCAGCGCCGTCGTGCGTATGGCTGCCATATCTTTGGCTTGTCTACTTTTATCATGGTGGTTTATGCGTTAAATCTGTGGGGGCCAACCTATTTTATACGCACGTTTGGGTACGATGCTGCTCAAGCGGGTTGGACGTTTGGTCTGTTGATGTTGATCGCTGGTAGTGCGGGCCTGTTGCTGGCGGGTTATGTGGCCGATGCATGGGTTAAACGCGGCGTTTCAGATGCCTATGTGCGGCTTATCCTGATCAGTATGGTCTGTATGACACCCTGTGCGATTGCGCTGGGCTTTGTGCAGGATGCGACGGCTGCCATTGTTGTCATGTCTCTCGCGGTGTTCTTTTCTGCTTTTCAAGGGGGCATTGCGGGTGGCACGCTGCAGTTGATGACGCCAAATCGGATGCGTGGGCAGATGATTGCAGCCTACCTGCTCGTAGCGACGCTGATTGGATTAGGCTTTGGCCCCACCGTCATCGCAGCCACGACAGATTTTGTATTTGGTTACGATGAAGCGATTGGCAAGTCGATAGCACTGTGTGCCGGGATTCTTTGTCCAGCAGGTGCGCTGATCCTATGGTTCGGTTTATCACACATTCGTCATGAGATTGAAGTTCAGAACGACGCCGCTCTTGCAGAACAGTCGACTAGCGCCTGACGGCGGGGGTTTCAACCGGTAATCCCCGGGCGCGCCATTTCAGGTACAACTCCAGTTCAATGTACTGCGTGGCACCATACTCAAAAGGCTCGGCTCGCACGCCAGTGTTGCAGAACCTGAGCCGTCGATGCAGTGAGCCCAGGGTCTGCCATTCGAGTCGATAAGCGGGGTAGCCACCAACCTGTCCCTGACTGAGTTTGTCGCCCCGTAACATACGGCCCACGTTATCTTCGTGGCAGTGGTTGCAGGCCAGATTAAGCTGGCCTCGACGGGTGTAAAAATAGGCTTGTCCGGAGGCGAAAGCCGATGCTGCCGGCCCATCTATGACAACTTCAATCGGTAAACCCTTGGACTGATGGCCAACGTACGCGCTCAGGGATAGAAGGTCTTCGCTTTCGTAGGCAAGTGCGGGTGTCTGTTGATGTTTTACTCTGCAGTGATTGATCTGGCCTTCAAGATTCACAACTGCGTTGAGGTGTTTGTTATATCTGGGATATTTTGCTGCCACCCCGGTCATGCCTGTTGCTTCATCATTGTGACAGCTCTCGCAGGATGGCTGGCTGCCTAGAGGCGACGAGCGCCATAGTTCTGCACCGCGATCTACCCACAACATACCGGGATTGGCAAAAGGATCATCCTGCAACACCTGGGTGTCCGTTGACTGAAAATGGTAGCCAGATTTACCTTTTGGCGCGGTCGCAGTATTGGTCGATTTCAGCGCTGGCATAGAGGCAGTGGTGTTTCTTTCGCAACCTGCCAGAAAGGCGCAAATGAGCAAGACCGCGCAGGTGCTGTAGCTGCGAAATCTAGGTAGCCGGATCAACAGTCAGTTCTCGAGTGACGCGGGTTACTTTGTTGTCCTGATCTGTCCAGATAAACTCGAGTTCACCACTGTCTTGTGCTCGTAGATGAAAGGCGATGAAAGGGTTAGCCGCGACAGCCGGGTGTAATGTGGCTTTGAAAACAGTTTTTCCGTTGTAGCGACACTCGAACCGAGTGAGGATGTTGCGCGGAATCACCTGGCCGAGGGTATTACGCCTGAAACCCGTTTCCATAGGATGGGATATTAGCGTTTTTATGGCCACAATCTCGTTATGCTGCGCGCGTGAGGGGACTGAAATTCTCGCTTTTAACATCAGTACAGCGCATCCAGACAAGCGGCAACAGTGACTACGATATGGGCGCTACCACTCCAGAGGCTGCCGTCACTGAGGCCGGCCACCACCACAATATCCTGTTCTGCGGATACACGGATGCGGGTTTCCACCTCTGCAAGACCACTGGCTGGAGAGAGTTCGAAGCGGGCAATATCCGGCAGTGGATTGGCTTCTGCGATCAATTGAATGAACGTCACGTGCTCGCTCTGAGTCATGGGGCTGTCGACGCTGACTTTAATACGTACCGAATTTCCGTTTTCCGCCAGCGCAGGTAGTTCTATGTTGATCCGTCCCGGTTGTATATCTGCGCCAGGAAAATCCCGCTCGATGGTTGTCTGCAGGGGCTCAGATACAGCCGCCAGGAGCCTGGGTTGCAGAGTGAGTGTAACCAGGGTGCCCGCGCCGGCCAGCCAGTTTCGTCGGTTGATGGTTGTGCTCATTCTTGTGGCTCAGGCTGTTTCAGAGTGAGCAGAAAAGCCACCAGGTCAGCCATTTCGTTGGCGCTTAATACGGGCTGGTCCAGGTAGGCTTGTGCCACCTGAGTCAACCCGTGGGTGCGGAAATAGGCCGGCATAACAGTATTGGGATTCTGTTCTGTAGGGTCGGCGATGCGTTTGTACAGTTCATCGGGCCCCAGGCGGGCGCCGATATTACTCAGGTCAGGACCTATGTTGCCCTGGAAAGATTCATTGATTTGCTTAACCTGGTGACAGAGCAGGCAATGGCCGCGCTCGCGATCAACAAATGCGGCTTTGCCGCGACTCTCTGGGTTGTCCTGTGTCGTGATGGTTTTTGCGTTGCTGGCAGCTGTAGCAATGCTCAGTGCAAGTATCAGGACAACCAGAAATGTCTTGCGGATTACCATCAAGCAAAAACCTGGGTTGTAAGATTCCTGAACCAACGTTGTGCATAAGTTGCTTCGAGTGCTCGCGTTTCGGATGATGCATTGGCAGGGCTGACACCGCCAGCTCCGTCAATTTCAGCCCATATCTTTTTGTTGGGTTGATACACGCCAGCAACAGAAATGCCATAGTCGGGTGCCACCAGGCTGTAGCAGGTGTTTATCAGCTTGCTGCTGACCGGGGATTCGCCATTGAGCAAACGGGTAATCTGTACCGCGCAGAGTTTTGCCTGTGCATTGGCTGCAAATGCGGATTTGGGCATCGCATTGGCGATTGCTGCATCACCAATCACATGGATGTCCGGCTGCAGCGTAGATGCAAAAGTGAGCGGCTCAATCGGGCACCAGCCAGAGCGGTCGGCAACACCGGCCAGTTGTGCAATAGCCCCGGCTTTTTGTGGCGGAATGATGTTGGCCACATCCGCCTGCACGGTTTCAAAGTCTGTGATAACAGAGCGGTTGTTCGCCTCAACGGCAGTCACCGTTGCGCCATCTGATTCGCCCTGCCATTCAATGATGTCGCCGTAAAGGGTTTGCCAGGCTGACATGAACAGGGGTTTCTTCGAAAAGCTGTCTTTGCTGTCAAGAATGAGCATTTTAGCGCGTGGGTTGTTCTGTTTCAGGTATCCCGCAATGAGACTGGCCCGTTCGTAGGGGCCAGGAGGACATCGATAAGGTGATTTCGGTACGGACATGACCACCAGGCCACCTTGCCGCATGTTACGCAGTTGGTCACGCAAAAGCGTCGTCTGGGCGCCGGCTTTCCAGGCATGTGGTAGAAGTTGGGCGGCGGCTTTGTCGTAGCCTTGCAGTGCCTGCCAGTCCAGGTCTATCCCTGGCGCCAGGATCAGTTTGTCATAGCCCAGCTTTTCGCTGTTGCGCAGCGTGACCGTGCGGCGCTCTGGATCAACGTCCACTGCGTATTGGTGAATGACATTAACCCCGACACCATCCAAGCCGGCGTAGCTGAACTGTTGCTCGGTGATCTCGCGGTGGCCACCAATCACCATGTTGCTGAGCGGGCAGGCGGTGTAGGTGGGGTTTGCTTCGATCAGCGAAACCGATAAATGCTGATTCAGTCGGCGCAGTTCCCGCGCCACGCTTGCACCAGCAAATCCGCCTCCAATGATTACAACCCGCGCCTGGCTTGCATGACCCTGGGCCATCACTGAAGCCGCGAGGGACGCGCTGCTGTATTTAAGCCAGTTGCGACGTGAAATCATGTTGGGTTGTTTACCGAGAACCAGGCGGGTGTTTTGCAAAAGCGCTGGCCATCACTGCTGCGAGCTGCTCAAGTTCCGCGGGTGTGTAGCCACGGCTGATACGATTCATGACGGTGCCATTTAACTCACCGCTGTGAAAGGCTTTTAACTTGATTGCAATATCCAGCTCAGCTGTTGCGCTGAATGCGACAAGGCCGGTGGCTGGGGTGCCTGGTTCAGCGTGGCACCCATAACATGCCTGCGTGCTGATGGCGGCGGCTGATTTGCGATCAGCCGCTTTCATATCGGCTGCCGCTGTTGCTGACGCAAGCAGCAGCAGCACGCTGTAGCCCAGGTCCGTTAGTTTCACGCCTTGCGCAGGTTTCTGCCTTTCAGAGGCACGTTACGAACCCGATTACCGGTTGCGGCAAAGATGGCATTCAGAACTGCCGGCGCCGCCACAGCGATGGTCGGTTCACCCACACCGCCCCAGAAACCACCTGAAGGCATCACTATGGTTTCAACTTTTGGCATCTCAGCCAGACGCATAGATGAGAACGTATGGAAGTTGTCCTGCTCGATTTCGCCATCTTTGACTGTACATTCGCCGTACAACAGAGCAGACAGGCCGTAAACAAACGAGCCTTCCACCTGGGCCTCAATCTGCTGAGGATTAACTGCATAACCCGGGTCGGTAGCCGCCACGATGCGGTGCATTTTCAAAGCGCCTGCCTCATCAACGGACACTTCCGCGCACGCTGCTACATAGCTGCCAAAGGCGTAACAGGTAGCCAGGCCACGGTGCACGCCCGGTGCTGCAGGTGTGCCCCAACCAGCACCTTCAGCGGCGGCATTAAGCACCGCCATGCCTTTAGGGTTGTCTTTCATCAGGCGCTGACGAAACAGCAGCGGATCAACCTCTGCTGCATGCGCCAGTTCGTCCATGAAACACTCCATATAAATGGCGTTCTGATTGACGTTAACGCCGCGCCAGAATCCCGGTCTGATATGGCTGTTGCGCATGGCGTGATCGATCAGCAGATTGGGCACGCTGTAGCTGATGGCCTGGTCACCGGAGGGTAACAAGGCTTGAAACACAGCAGGGTCTTTGCCGTCCTGCAACCCCTGCGGAATCAGCGTAGCCAGAATAGACTGGCCGGAGATGCGCAGGTGTAAAGCGGTCAGGTTACCGTCATCATCCAGACCACCTTCAAGTCGTGCCTGGGTGATGGGGTGGTAAAACCCATGTTTCATGTCTTCTTCCCGGGTCCACATCAGTTTGATGGGCGTGCCCGGCATGGTTTTGGCGATTTTCACCGCCTGATTAATATAGTCAGGTGCGCCGCGCCGGCCAAAGCCGCCACCCAGCATGACTTTATGAACTTCACATTGCTCAATCGGCAGATCAGCAGCTTCAGCGGTGGCTGCCAGGGCTGATTCACCGTTCTGAGTCGGGCACCAGACCTCGCAGGCGTCCTTGGTCCACACTGCTGTCGCGTTCATCGGCTCCATGGTGGCATGGTTCAGAAAGGGATAGCTGTAGGTGGCTTCAATACGCTTGGCAGCTTTTGCCAGGCTTTCTTTGACATTGCCGTTTTCATTGCCCACAAAGGCCTGCTCCGCGGTCAACCCTTCAACGATATCTGCAACGATATCCGCCTGGGACACGTTTGCGTTTGGACCATAGTCCCATTCGATGTCCACAGCGTCCAAGGCGGTTTTTGCCTGCCACCAGGTGTCAGCAATAACGGCAACGGCGACATCGTCGACATCGACAATGGATTTAACACCAGGCATGGCCTTTGCTTTTGATGTGTCAAAAGAAGCGAGTTTTCCACCGGTAACAGGACAGGCTTTGATCGCCGCGTTCAACATCCCCGGCAGGTTGAGATCTGAACCGTAGATCTGTTTGCCGGTGGTTTTCTCGATGGTATCCAGACGAGGCAACGGCTGACCGATGACCTTCCAGTTTTTTGGATCTTTCAACGGCACATCAGTTGGGGGTACCAGCTGAGCAGCTGCGGTGGCAACTTTGCCGTAGGTAGTCGTGCGCTTGCTGGGTGTATGCGTAATGACGCTATTGGACGCCGTGCATTCGCTGACGGGCACCTGCCATAAACCTGCAGCTGCTTCGATTAGCATCATGCGTGCCGCCGCACCACCTTCACGAACGTATTGATGGCTGCCACGAATACCGCGGCTGCCACCGGTAGCAAAGCTGCCCCAGACTCTGTTGCGGGCAACGTTCTGGCCAGGGGTTGGATATTCCCAGGTTACTTTGTCCCAATCACATTCGAGTTCCTCCGCAACCATCTGAGCAAGGCCAGTGAGTGTGCCCTGACCCATTTCGGACCTTGCGATGCGTATGATCACGGTGTCGTCAGGCTGTACAACAACCCAGGCGTTCACTTCTTCGGTAGTGCCTGCTGCTGTTTCTGCATTCACGGGCAATGACATGCCCAGGGACAAGCCTGCACCGCTGAGTGCGCTGGAGATTAAAAACTTGCGTCGGTTGAGAGCAAGATTTGGCGAGGTATTGGTTGAATCGGTATTCACTGTTAAGCCTCCTTGCTCAGTTCCGCTGCACGATGAATGCCAGCGCGAACTCTCTGAAAGGTGCCACAACGACAGATGTTTGTGATGTTCTGATCAATGTCAGCGTCGTTTGGCGCTGCATTGTTTGCCAGCAGGGCTGCCGCCGCCATAATCATGCCGGACTGACAGAATCCGCACTGAGGCACGTCAAGTTCCACCCATGCCTGTTGCACCGGATGATCGCCGCTGTCAGAGAGACCTTCGATGGTGGTGATTTTCTGACTGGCCTGCACGGCACTTGCCGGATAGACACAGGCGCGAATGGGGTTACCGTCGATGTGCACCGTGCACGCGCCACATTGCGCAATGCCGCAACCATACTTGGTGCCGGTCAGGCCTGCCTGTTCACGTAAGACCCAGAGTAACGGTGTGTTGGGATCAAATTCCAACTCCACGTCGTTGCCGTTGATGTTCAGCTTAGCCATTGCGACCAGTCTCCTTGCTTTTGTATCGAGAATTCAATGGTGTGAAGTTGATGGTTGCACGACATCTTTCAGATGCACGTGCAACACTCGAATTCACCCCAGATACTAGCAGGGACCGAGGCGATAACGAAGCATTGGTAGGACAACTTCGATGAGTTGCCTGAGTGATGTCATTATGGTGCGCTGAAGCGCTATTTTGGTGCGCTATCCGGCTGCAGGTATTTGCTTTAGAAGCGCCCGAATTTCTCCTTTACGGCCATTGTCCGCGAGCGTGCGACCAGGCCGGGGTGCCGCTTTCAGCGCATGTTCGAGGTGCTTCCTTGCGGCGCTGAATTCGCCTTCGTCAAAGAGAAACTGCCCCATAAAATAGTTACTGTCGATACCGTCTGGGTTGATGGTCAGAGCCTTGTGTAAATGCGCTTTGGCTTTCTTGTCACTGCCAAACGCGATCGGCCATCCGGGTACCTGATGGTAAAGGGTTCCCAGGCTTGTGTGGGCGGATCCCTGCAGCGCATTGGGATTTATCTCCAGCGCACTTTCCAGGCTCGCACGGGCTTCCTTGACCAGGCCAAGGGCACCCAGACCACCTTTTTCACCAGCCAGGGAACTCAGCACAATACCTTTCCAGATCAGGATTTCCGGCACTGCAGACTCTACCTGTGTGATCTGTCTGGCGTATTCGGCGAGCTCAGATAGAGCCTCTTCCCGCTGTGTACCCTCGAGTTGGTAGGTGGCGTGAGCCCAGTTACTCTGCAGATAGTCCAGAGTGTTTTTCGGGCTTGCGCTGTCTGCCAGTGTCGTGACGGCGACCAGCAGGCTGGCACCAAACAGCAGGGCTGATGAGAGCGTTTTTTTGAGTGAATAAGACATACGATTTTCTCCTCGTTTGCTTCGATAGGATTGCGTCAGGTTGTCCTGGCGAATTGTTCAATGGTGGATAATTTTTTCTCCAGGGCGCGATCTACAACCCCGGGCATGATCTGGTTAACACGCACAAACAGTCGCTCCGGCCAACCGAGATAAGTGCTCTTTGCTTTCTGTTCAATTGATTTGAGAATTTTTTGCGCCACGTACACAGGTGTATCGCTGGCGTTGCCTAACGCGTCATTGAGTTGATTGGCAGCTTCGCTGTTCATCGCGGTGCTGGTTGTGCGCGGGGCGAAGTAAATCACGTCGATGGATGTATTTTTGACTTCTCTGCGCAACGCTTCGGTGAATCCACGCAGGCCGAATTTTGAAGCACAGTAGGCGGTGTAACCCGGATGTCCAATTGTGCCAAAGACAGAACCCACGTTGACGATCATGCCGTGAGGATTTTTACGCAGGTGCGGCAGCAACAAACGTGTCAGTTGCATCGGTGCCAGCAGATTCAGTTGCACCATATTTGTCAACGCCGCCGCTTCGGTATTTTCCAGCAGTGCAAACTGATTGGCGCCGGACAGGTTGATCAGGGTATCAACACCGTTCTGCGCGGCCGCTTGCGCGAGGTTGTCGAGATCTGTGGGTAACGTTAAGTCAGCCCGAACTGTGCTGATGATGCTTCTGGCGGGCAGATTGTCCTTCAGCTGTTTTAGTTTTTCCTCTGAGCGTGCGCTGAGTATCAGCGTGTGTCCTGCGTTGGCCAGCACTTTCGCAAGCGCCTGACCAATACCACCTGTTGCGCCTGTCAGCAGAACGGCGCGTTGCTTAAGCGGCATGAGCTGAAGTCTCGTTGTGAAGTCGTGGCACGGATCGCAGCACGTTGCCGTAAAGTACATAAACACGTTTTGCAACGTGAATGACATGGTGCATATCCGCTGCTGTCAGACCGTCGAGCAACTGCTTGAAAAAATCAACGTGTTCTATGTCTAAAGCACCGTGGCTGCGCAGGTAGGTGAACGCCTTGCTGGGTAAGTCCAGGGCTTGTGCAATGAGGTCTGCAGTGCTGCTGGCAAGTGACGTACTGGTGCCTTCCAGAACATGTACCATGCCAAGAAAACCGATGGGGTTAACCGTTGTAATGTAGTCGCGAACATAAGCCAGCATCACTTCTGTGGCGAAATTGGGTTCGCTTGCGGCGATCTGCTGGGCATCTGCACCACAGGCTTCAAGATCGTTAAGGATCCATCGCTCATGACCAATTTCTTCATCTATGTATTCTTTAAACGCACTGATCAGGTGCATCTGGCTTGGGTGTATACGACTTGCGGTGGCCATCATCAGCGGCACCGTAAAGCGCACGTGATGGTAAGCGTTGGTTAAAAAAGCGTGATACATCTCGAGGGTGACACGCCCATGTGCCACGTCTTCGATAATGGGGGCCGCAAGTAGATCAAGCTGTTCTGATCGGGTGGCTTGCAGGAGAGTTTCGTAGTGGCTCATCAAAGGGTGACTCCAATTTTTTCAGGTTGTGTCAGGTGGTTGAATAGATCCTGCCAGGCCTGTCGGCGTACGCGCCCGTTGCTGGTCAGACCGTTGTAGTTGTTCATGTCTGCAGCAGTCACGCGATACCATGCGCCGACTTGTGCGTAGTCAGGCAGTCGCTGATTGCTGGCGCTGACCGCCGCGTCGAGTTCAGCATCAGTGGGCTCACCTCTTGGCAACAGCAGCGCTGTGTTGCTTTGCGCCGCTTCGCCAAACACCGCGGCGTGGCTGATACACAGTTCATTCTGCAATTCGCTTTCAACCCATTCCGGTGACACGTTGCGTCCGTAGGCGGTAATGAAGGTGTTTTTAAGACGTCCATAAACGGTCACGTAGCCGTCTGCGTCTATGGCAACACGGTCGCCGGTTGCAACCTTTGTGCATGTATCCAGGTCACCGATGATGCCCAGCATGCGTGGGTGAGTGACAATCAGCTCTTCGTTTTCAATGCAGGCTTTAACATGGGGTAACAATCTTCCAACGCTGCCGATTTTCTGTGCCGTGGGTGTATTGAGTGTGATCACGCTGCCGCACTCGGTTAACCCATAACCCTCATAAACAGGAATGTTCTGCTGCGCGGCCCGATGCAGCAGTTCCGGGGTCACGCGGCCGCCGCCCACGGCTACAAATTTAAAGTGTTTAAAGGTCACCAGGCCAAATTCAGCTGAAGCGGTGATTGCAAGCAGAAGGGCAGGCACAACGATGATGCTGTCCGGACCAAATGTTTCAATCCCCTTCACGAACTGGCCCACGTCCACCTGGCTACTGCCTTGAACGCCAATTTCAGCCAGATCGGGCACGTATATAGTGCTGCCGTTGAGGAGATTGGCAAACAGGCCTGCGGTGTTCTCCAGCAGCAGTGTCAGGGGTAACACACACAGATGCTGCTGTATCTCCTGATCTTTCAGCGTCTCATACAGGCTGTTGGCCGTTTGCAGTAACGTTTCTGCGCTAAGACAGACACCTTTAGGTTCACCTGTGCTGCCGGACGTGAAAGTCACCAGCGCAGTTCCCGCGGGTAGTGCCACATCTTCAGCATCAAACCTATGCGCGATGTCGAAACGTTTGAAATCGACCTCTGTTCCCGAGTGCGCGCCTGCTGCGCTTTCGCTCAGCGTGATCATGACCTCAGCACCAGAGGCTTTTAACGTGTGATTGCGCTGGGTTGTGCTGAAAAACGATGGGATAGGTATCGCAACTCTGTCAGATTCCAGCAGAGCGATGTCCAGAGCAGCCCAGTCGAAGCCGTTGGGTAGATCGAAAGCTACCCGCCGGACGTTAAGCTCGTCCAGCTTGTTAATCCAGCTCGTTGCTGCGCTTTTGAGATCAGTCAACGACCAGGTGTTATGCCCGTCGCTGAGGCAGGCGCTGGCGGGCACATGAGCAAGTAGTTTCTTTTTAAGCATAGATTCTGCCCGCCTGATTGACTGCGTTTTGTGGTTGACCCAGCAGCACGGTTGGCGCGTGTTCGTAGTAGCTGCCCCAGCCGTGTTGCAGGTTCGGTGGAAGCTGCTGGAGTGATGCTTTACCCAGAATGTGAGGGGCAATGCCCTTGCGCTCGAAAAACGCGGCCAGTTCGCGGGTTGCGGTACAGACGAGTAACTCTGTCTGCATAGACAGAAACTCCGCCAGACAGGGCAGTAACTGGCAAACCAGACGCGGCGTGCGGACTGAAAAATGCACAAATTCGACAGTTTTATCGGTGCTTAGCAGGTCAGGAAAGGTGTCCTGCAGACGCAGATTTAAATTGTCGATATAGTGGTTACTGAAGAATTTTTCCCGGCACCGGTTCAGGCCGAATGCAGCATCCAGCTCACCACAGTTGTTATAAATGGCATAAAGCTCATCGCTGTCATCGCTGATAATTGCACCGAAATGTTGTTCAAACTGCGCCGCGATAAAGGCAAATGCCTCATCACGCTTTTCACCTTCAACCCTTGTGATGGACCAGTGGTTTTTCATTTAAGTTCTTCTATTGTTGGCCTAGTCTTGGGGAGATAGAGAGCGCCTCGGATAAAAATCAATCGAAATAATATTTTTCCGATTGATTTATGTGATTCAGACCCTCAACTGTTACAAGCCATTGAGTTACGCGTGTGCATAAAGAAGATTTAAAACTCGCCAAGCAGTTGCTGAGCGGCAACGAACAGGTTTTTGAAACCTTTTTCAATCAGTACTACGTGCGGGTTTATCGGTTCTGCCTGCGCCGTGTTAATGAGAATGAAGCAGAGGACATAGCTTTGGAAACCATGCGACAAGCGATGCGCAGGATTGAAACTTACCGCGGCGAAGCCAGTTTGCTGGCCTGGGTTTATCAGGTTGCCCGCAGTCAGGTCAGCGCCTTTTATAAACGCGCGCAGAAGCACAAAGACCTGCTGCTGATTGAAGACGATCTGCAGGTTCAGGCTCAGGTAGAAGCCATGAGTTCAGAATTGTCCGCTGATCCTGAAGCGTCAAGAGATCAGCAACAGCATGCCAATCTGATTCATTACATGCTCGATTCGCTGCCAGGGGATTACGGCCGTATTCTGGAATGGAAGTACGTAGAGGGTTGGTCGGTTGAGGAAATAGCCCAGCGTCTCGAGTCCAGTCCGACAGCGATACAGTCCATGCTTGCACGGGCGCGTACCGCCTTTCGTAATGCTTATGAACAAATCAGCCAGAGTGCAGAGCAGACAAATGTTGTGCCATTCGGCTCTGGGGGAGCCCAAACATGAATGACGGTCAAAATACGGATGACGAGCACGCTGTTGATATGGAGATCAAACAGATTCTCACAGCTGCCGGACCACGCCCACAACCGCCTCAAGCGGCCAGTCAGCGTGCCTATGACCTGCTGAAAAACGACTGGTCGTCGCTTGTCGCGGCAAAGAAACAGCGTCGCCGCCGACGCTTGCTGAGTGTGGCTGCCAGCATCGGCGTGCTGGTGGGCTCTTTGTGGATGTTCAACGACGTGCAACAGTCCCGGAACTGGGAGGTGGTCGTCACCAGTGGTGCTTTTGAATTGAATTCGACACGCTATGAGGCGCCACAAAATATGACGCTGAGTGAAGGCGATCATTTATACAGCCTGGAACCCGTGCGGTTCGAGCGCAGCGACGGGGCTGATCTGCGTTTAGGTTATGCAACGTCTTTGTCTATCCAGAACGATGCGACAGTGCAGCTGGAACAGGGTTCGGTCTACATCGATACACAGGGATTGGCAGATTTTCTGGTGCAAACGCCTCTGGCGGATGTGCGGGATATAGGCACTCGATTCATGGTCAGCCTGGCGGATAGTGCGCTGCAGGTTGCGGTGCGCGAAGGGGCTGCGGAAGTCACTTCCGAATTCGGCACACAGGTTGCCAGAGTCGACAGTAGTAAGGTTGATAGTGCTCTGGCACAAGTTGTCACTGTTGATGGCAGTGGTCAGAAGCTGCATCAGGAGTCGCTGTCAGATTCGCGCTGGGAATGGATACATGTTGCACCCGCTGGTTACCAATCACGTGCTTTAACCGCACTGGTCAGCCAGATAGGTCACGACCTGGGCAAAACCGTGCGCTTTGCCGATCGCGGTGTTGAAGTCAGCGTGGCCAATGAACAGGTGGATGGCGATCTGCGCGATATGACACCCAGACAGGCGCTGGAGATTATTGCTCGCAGTACGGGCCTGGTCTGGCGTGAAGCACAAGACGAGATCATCTTGGACTTTAAGCGTTGATGGCAAACCCGTAAGCTTGCGCGCCTATGCGCTGCTGCCAACTTACTTTTTATAAAAAACTGCTGTTCCTGCTTTTGTGCAGCTACTGCGCTGGGGTGCTCGCAAGCGAAAGTGGCCGGCCATTTGCCATTGAAATGGGAGAGCCTCTGCGCAAGGTATTGGATCGCTTTACCGAGGTCGGATTGAACGTTGTGTCGACGACACGTTTGGTACCTTCACGGATGGTGGTCACCGCAGTGCCGGATGCAGATCTTCCTCCCATGGAGCAGCTTGATCAGCTGCTGCGACCCCATAATCTGCAGTTGGTCAGCGTTGACCCCAACAACAGCTATGTTGAACGCATCAAAACACCGGCTGAAGCAGTTAACCCGGCGCCAGAAGCAGTCGTCCGCCGTGCGTCTTTCATGGAAGAGGTGGTGGTCACCAGCCCCTACCGCGTCCGACGCGAGCGCGAGTTGGCAGCAAGCCTTGATCACGAAGATCTGTTAACCCTGCCCAGTCTGGGTAGAGATGTGTTGCGCGGGATCGATATTCTGCCGGGTGTTGCAACTAATGGTATATCCGCTCGTTATCAGTTCCGCGGCGGTGACAATAATGAAGTGTTGTATCGTCTGGACGGTATTGAACTGCTGGAACCGTTTCATCTGCCTTCGGTGCAGGACCTCTTTGGTGCGGTGAATATCAACATTATCGACTCTGCGGATATTTATGTGGCAGGCTTTCCTGTTGATCTGGGTTCACGTATGAGTGGTGTTGTTGATCTGGAACTGGTTGAACCAACGGCTAAATTCAGTGGTGGGGTCGATCTGAATTTCATCACGGCGTCAACGGATGCCCGGGGCTGGGCGGGAAACTGGAACTGGGTAGTGTCCGCTCGACGCAGTTTGATTGATAAAGCCATCGGACAGTTCGAAACTGACTATGGCACACCTCGTTTCCAGGACCAGCTGTTGCATCTGACTCGATCTACAGGCGAAACCACGTTCACCCTTGGCGCTGTGAACAGCCGAGATCGGGTGGTTGTCCGTCAGGATACGCAAGTGAGCCGCAGTAATGATGATTTCCGCGCCCTCTGGATGCGTTGGCAGCAGGACCATCAAGGCCAGCTCAGCAGCACCTGGCAGTTTTCTACTGTCAACATAGATAAGACGCGGTGGGGTCGCGTTGATGATTCGATGGCGAGTGTTGGCGCGTTGGAGGAACAGCGCGAGTTCAACACGTATGAGCTGTCCAATCATTGGGAGTGGCAGCGTGGCTCGACATCACAATGGCGTGCAGGCTGGTCGTTTGCCCGCCAGAAGGCTGATTTTGAAGCTGAGTTTGCGGCGGACTATGGGCCACTGGCGTTACCGGGGTTGAGGGGTTCAACTCTGCAGCGCGACGTTGAAGTTGATCGTTCGGGTGATTCATCCCAGGCCTTTATATCGTACACCAGGGCATTTGGTTCTGGTTGGCGTATCGAAACAGGTCTGCGCTATGACGGCCAGGATATCGATCCGGTTCATGTGAGTGAATTCAGCGCCCGTATAAATGTGGATTATAAGGTATCTGAAGCGTGGCGATTTGCGCTGAATGTGGGGCGTTATACGCAACAACAGCATTTATACGAAATTCAGATTGATGACGGCAGAGCTGAATTGTTTAACCCACAGCATTCGGACCAGATCAATCTGTCGGGTATCTATGCACCGAACGATAAGCTGCGGGTTCGCCTGGATCTGTATCTGCGCCAGATAGGCAATCCCTGGTCGCATTTTGAAAACCTGTACAACACCTGGGTGTTGATTCCTGAGCTGCAGGGGGACCGGTTCGAAATTGAGACAAGCAAAGCCCGTATGCGTGGTGCGGAGCTGTCAGTAAATTACCAAGTCAGCGAGCAGCTATCGTGGTATATCAATGCCACTCGCGCCTCTGCTGAAGAGACCACTTTATCGCGCGAGGTTGCCAGGCCATGGGACCAGGAGCTGGCTGTAAAAGCGGGCCTTTCATGGCAGAGTGCACGCTGGCGTCTGGGTCTGAAAGGCAGTTATCACAGTGGTCTGCCGACCACGGAATTTGTTACCACGGATGATCAGCTGACGGGATCTTTGTATGGCAGCAGGCTGCCCTCGTTCTTTACGATAGATGCCCACGTTTCCCGCATGATTGCGGTGCCGCGGGGCAGCCTGGAGGTCTATCTTGATGTGACAAACCTGACTGACAGGTCAAATGTTGGCGGCTACGAATACAGCTCGGCGACAGAACGCGATCCGCAGGAAATGTTGCCGCTGTTACCTGTTCTTGGCGTGTCCTGGCGCTGGTAGTTCTCTAAAATCACTCAGCCAAGTACCGCAATGTTACAGGCATGACAGTACTGAGGGGTACGGATCCAAAATCCGGGTCAATTTCCCTGCCATGCGGTGCGCTGGACATGTCCAGTCTATAGTCTCTCAATAACAAGCCGGCCAACAAGGGTAAGAACGCTCTGGTCACACCCATACCCAGGCAAAGGTGCTTGCCTCCACCAAAAGCATTTGTTTTGGCTGGGGAACCGTCCAGCCAGCGTTGCGGTTGAAACTCAAACGGTGAATTGTATGTCTCAGCTTCATAGTGCGACAGGGTATGCAGGTGCAGCACGAGGGTACCCTCGGGTATCTGGTGGCCGAGAAATTCGATATTGCGGGTGGTGCGTTTAGGGATAACCGGCGCGGGTGGGTAGAGTCGTTCAGTTTCGTTGATCAGGGCTTTTAATACCGGATGCGCTTTCATGCCGTCAAGATTTGCCAGGTCAACATCAGCCAGTTCCTGCCGCACAGCAGTTTGCCAGTGCGTACCGGCGACTTTCCACATCATGGTGCACAGGAAGTGGGCGATATTGCCCACCCCTGCGATACTGAGCAGGTAGATACTTTCGATGATTTCCGTGTCACTCAGGGGCGTAAAATCTGAGGTTTCTGAGCGCGACAGGATGATATCGAGAGAATCATCTTTGCGTGCGCCACGCTTTCTTTCGTTCAGAATCTGGTTAAAAAAATCGAAGGACATATTGCGAGCGTGCTGGTAGGCGGGGCGGGCAAACCACTGTGTTTGCTGTGCCGGGCTGAGCTGTAGTGCTGCTATAAATTCATCTTCGAATTGCAACAGATGGCTCAGCCCAGACGAGGTTACAGCAGCTTTGATTTGCGTCTGATTAAGTGCTCGCGCCATGGTCCGGCATGCCAATGCGTACAGATCCGATGGCGCATCGACCTGTTCGTTAAGGTCCTGTGCGAACGTCTGGTAG